CATCGCCATCGGCGACGACAGACGCAGGTGATGGCAATATGTACAGACACATCTGTGTCTGTACATAAAAATAAATAAATAAATAAAATAAATTACAGGTTTTGTTTAAAGATATTGGCTCATTTTGGATGCCAAAATCAATTTCTTATATCGGGTGTGCAACGATCGAAGTGTCTTCAAGGTCTATTGTACACGTTTGAAATTTCCCAGAGTTACTTTCTTATGCCTAGCCTGCAAAGCTACTAGTCCTCTCCAATTCAGATCTAAAATAAATAAATAAATAAATAAATAAATAAATAAATAAATAAATAAATATTTAACTCCTCAAAGAAAAGTTCCTGAAGTCGGTAGTTCCTACTGAAATGTACAGGTAGCCGTGGAGTTCTAAACAGATAATCAACCAAACATTTAAACATAGGGTTAGCGATGGAATAAAACAATGAATCCAAATACTGAGACGGATACAGAAATGATTTGTTTGTAGGAGAAAATTGGTTTTCATATTGGCGGGTTAATCCCTTACAAAGTACTTAATGTTGTTCCAGCAAAGAAATTGGAACTCTTTTTATTGTGACTAAGCGTAAATCAGTTCCTTAAATGTTCATCTGTGAATCATTTAACAGTTCCATATATATTTTTTGTTTTCCTCAAAGCATCAGATTGGGAGAAGTACAACGAATCCCGGCGCGGCACTTCATGCAGAGATCACTTCGGTGTGGTCTTTTCTCGTTCACGTGACGAGACATCTTCTCCTCCTTGGTACACTTGCAGAGTTTTCCCTGCATGCCACATATAGAACACTTTAGCTCCTCTACGTGGTACGGGTCGCACTCAATGTTACACTTCTTACACTTTTGTTTGTAGGCAACCTGAAAATGATATCGAACTATACTCATACATTAAAAAAAGTAATCACTTTTCAAAGAAATAGCGCTAGGTTAACACAAAGAGAAAGGCACGCAGGTCAATATCACACGTTAAAATTGTCCATCGTTAATTTTTATACTAGATTATAAGATTGACTAATTTGCCTCTTCTTATAATACATACTTTTTAAACGAAGTGCTTAATTCTTATCCACCAATTTTACCCGATGGTTGTGCAAAGGTCCCATAGATAGCTATTACTGGAATTTTTATTTTATTAAAATAACCACAAGAAAAAAATACGGACTTCACCTAAACCCACCAATAAAGCTCATGAAAAATCCAATCGGCACTCACCTGCCCCGTCATATTGTTGACATAAACATGAGAGCTTTCCCACTGCCCATTGCAGCCTGTACAACGGAAAAAACCATATCTACGACCAAGCTCAGCCATATCTACGCAAAATTAAAAAACTCGCAGTGGTGATGTATATCTGAAGACAAATCTCTTTTTACGTTAGTGAACAAAGACAAAAACAACAACAATAAATAAATGCCCCGTTATCAAAAAGTTTTGAGAACTGCGTGACTAATAAGCTCCGGTTTCGCATCGCACCGGCCAATCAAATTGTGTTTGCGTTCAATGATCAACTTTTCAAAACGAAAGACTAATAGGTTCCATCAATATTTCCCCCTCTTGTCTAAAGGTGCTATTCACGTGATTTTTCATTTAATAATATTAAATACTAAATGGACGAAGGTACAACCGTGATAACATTCCTTGTACTGTGTAACTTTAGAATTCTGATCAGTGCGTTATCATCAGGTGTTCAAGGGCGCTTCTTTACCTCCCCTTTAAAATCTTTTGAAAGGAACGAAGATCTTCAGAACTAAGCTGACCCTACTGCTATTTCTATTGCAATTCCAAATGCATTCTTATACCAGGGATATTTCACATAGATTGACGGATTACAATGTTCCGGTCACACAAACCAACCATGGATGCAACAAACCTTCAAAAACTTTCTTTAAAATAATCCATTTATTCTAATACATACACGACACAAATTCATAAGAATCAGGAAAGAATACGACTTCCAAGATAATGATTACTAAAACAAATACAAACAAGAATATTTCGTTTCATTACAAACGCGACATGTGCAAGTAAAGCCAACTAGTGTATACGAACCTAAATAACGTAATCTGGGATAGGCATTTCCGATTAAATGCAACTTATGATGATAAGCTTCGTATCCATTTAATCTTTGTTCAAACGATACAAACGTAGCCCACATGGATATACTTAGTGTTAGTATAGCATTGATAATAATTAAAATCACTACATAACCAAACGAGCGCACAATGGAATGGTCAGAATCAAACTCTATAGTCATTTACAATATTTGTTTATCATCATAAGTAGTTGTGTGCATTCAATTTGTTCTCAAACAGATCTATACAAAAATACTATCTTATTGTGAGAAGCCTTTAAATTCGATCATCACCATCCCTACATTTTCTTTTCTCTGTCTCGATGATAAAATGTGGTATCCACCACTGTCTACAGATTGTCAATTCTTTTTTTTTTTTTCTTTATTCTTATCAAGCTGTTGTCTCAATCATATAAGCACCCACGAGTGGCTGCAGATTCTCAAGACTAATCCTAGTCATCCAGTGGGGGCGGCGAGCCTCCTCTTGGACTGCCGCGTTCATGTGGGCTCCCAGCAGGACCTCTAGAGCGAGATCTGGAGTGGCTGCAAATAGGAAACTTCAGCCCTTAGCTTTACATATGGAAAATATTGCAAATGTAAAAACAAATAAAAATATCTTAGAAAATTCAAAATAAAGATATTAAATTAAGCAACAAAACTGACCAGAATTCAAATACTACATACATACTTCGTAAGCATTTCACCTTGATGAATAACAAGCACCGTTCAAAAACTGCATTTTAGTGATGTCCACTATTATCTGACATCTCTGAATGAATTCAACACCCACATGATGCCTGCATATTATTATCTAAATTATCTAACCCAAGATTGCAAAAGAATTCTCTTTCAGCTCACCTTGGGGATCTTCTTGGCGATCTGGATCTTGATCGTGGAGTCCTGGAACGTGATCTGAAGAAAAAAAAAGCTCTTTTGAAATCTGACTCACGTTTTGCACTTCATTAATTAGAGAACTGAAGACTTGTTGAGAAACACGAGGTTCAATGTCCTCTAGTGACTAGTTGTTTGTTCACTAAGTAATATGGTTATGCTGAGAAAAGAAAATGTGTAAAAAACCAATTAAAACAGCTTAAGAGGCATGCTGATGAATATTGGTGGGAAGCATAGGGCATTTCACCAAAAGACTAAGTTGGCTTAATATTTACCTGCCACGGCGTTCTCTGGAGGGAGACCTGGACCTGCAAAATACCAGGACACATTCAATAGAAAGTCACGTTAGCTTGACTGACAATCTCAGACAATTTGTTTACCACAATATTTGGAAAAGAGAGATCGAAGATATCATGAAATAATTACATAATTTCAAGTCAGATTGAAACTTAACAGTTCTCAGAACAAATACACATACCTGGAATAACTTCTGTGTCTTCTTGAGCGGGACCTTGACCTGGAATTGGGGAAAAAATCATAAATAACAAGGGAATTCCATCAAAATAAACACAGACCAATCTATGTGCACTGACATACAAGTGTTACAAGGCTGAGAAGGAAAAAAAAAAAAAAACAGTGGCTAACTTTTGGAAACAAAATTATACTCAAAGAAGCTGTATCATGAGTGACTATTCTACTTAACACAGGTGACCTCCAGGTATAAGCCCATCACCCAGAGTATTACATATCAAAACACGTGGGAAAGGAACCATAACTATAATTATAACATACTAGCTGAAGGAAAAAAAAAATATAAAGACATCAGCCTGCTTGCAGTCTGAATTCAAAGTCGTGTGTAAAACGTTAATACTTAGCAGTTAGGCAATGCATAATGAGAGCTTTGCACAGACTTTGAATTCTTTGTATGTCTGCTACTGGGTATACACTTACACTCAGTTGGCGGTGGCATGAAATGTGAATTTTTCTCAAAGATCAAGAGGTGTTGAACATAGTGGAGCTGAAACATTTTCTGCTTCATCAAAGTGAGAGCAAAGATGAAGATGTTGATGTCATGGCAACAGCCAATCAATCAATCTTGTTCTCGGTTGGTGAAGATATATCTCGAAAACGGTTGATATTTAGTAGAAGACAATGGCTGCACATTCTGTGTTGATGTCAACGCTGTTTGTTCACCACAGAGGGTGTTGGCTGTTCACGTGAGAAAAGGTTGGAAGCTCATTGGTCAGTGTTGATCACATGATCATGGGCTGAGATCAAGTTGATTACCTCAATTCAGTATGTTGAGTATACTCTGCAAAGCAGCAGGTACAAAAAGGTTAATGATGGACACAAAAAAAAAAAACTTGCCTAATTTCTCAGCTGTGATAAAATCAATTGCACATCTACAGTGCAAGCATCTCTTCACCTAATGTAACAATCATGGATCAACAATCATTTAAGGCTACCTGTACAATGATATTAACATTACCTGATTACCTTTTTCTCCTCTTCACTAGGGGAACCAAGTCATAAGAGTGAATGCAACAAACATGTAAACATAGTCAAATATGGAAAAAAAAGATAGTCAAGATACCACATGATAAGAATTTTTAAGCAAACTTGTTTAACGCTATCATATCTAAATGTTTCTCATGGGTTCAGTCAATAACATTTACCTTGATCTTCTGGAGCTGCGCCTTCGACTGCTGCCCCCTTTCTGGTTTTTACAGTCATAAGCATAGTGGCCCGATTCCCCACATTCATAACACCGGTCTTCAGGATGAAAAGGACGTCTTGAGCGAGGTGGTGGGCCTCTGCGCAGCCATGGTTTGGGTCTAACCTTTCCATTAGAACTCTCTACTCGCACTCTCACGCCACACATGGTACTGAAAGAAAGAAAATCATTACAATGAATTGTTATTGGGTTTGACACAAACCCAACCAAATGCCACCATGTAGTTTTAAATAGTGTAACTAAGTGAAATACTATTTCAAATTTACCAAAAAAAAAAAAAAATATATATCTGAAGGGATATTTCTAGTTTCTTCCTGTGCTATATGTATAATAATATATGATCTCATTTTAATAAGTATGCAATTGTGCAAGCAGCTACATCCAATCTCTGGAGTGATTTTGCAATGCACACACAGTACAATGTTATTTAGCGGCTTTTACAAACTAGATAAACAGAACAGGTCAATTTCTGACCTGAAATTTGTAGAAATTGCAGTTTAAAGCCTTTTTTATACAAATACAAACTATATTTCATTGATAAGATGTCTAAATAAATACAGTTTATGTCCCATAATGAAAGTAGCAGCAACTTACGTGCCATCAAGGGCCCTTGTAGCATCATCTGCATCTCTTGGGTCTTCAAACTCCACAAAAGCAAAGCCTGGGGGATTACGAGCTACCCAGACATTTCTTATTTTACCATAGTAGCTAAAAGCCCTCTCTAGTTCCTTCTCTGATGCATCTCGTGGGAGGTCTCCTACGTACACTTTGCACTCTAGCTGTGAACGGGGCATTGTCTGAAAATGACATTTATATAATTTCAGATATCAAAACAGAGAAAGCATAGCAAAAGAAGTGAACACGGACAATCTAATGTGCTAACATTGTGTTATTTGCCGTGACTACTTGAGACTATTTGTTATCGATGTCAGCACAGTCCTTTGTACCTGGCTGTTCCATCGCAGAAGTGAAAGTAAAACGGGCGCTTGTTTTTACATTATCCCTGGGTCATTCCATAACATACGTAAGTGACAAACACTGTACTTATTTGTTGTCCACACATCTAGGAGAATTTCGTCTCGATGGTAATATTGGTGGCAATTTTAGGAACGCAAAATGAAAATGAGGTCAGCAAGCCAAAAAGCCGCCATTTTTGTTCCGTTGTCTTTTCATTGAAAAGAAAAAAGAAACGATCAGTAAGCAATGTACGCGTTAGTATTACGGGTACTTATTTGCTGAGGAAACTTGTGGATTCTAACAAATTGCAAAAACAACAAGAGAGATCATGCAACGTTTAACCCTGATACTCACCTTTACGAGCTGGAGCACACCACGCCAGACACTGCTCAAGGTTACGCGAGCGTCACATAACAGGTCGCATGTACTTGATTGATGTAATAATAATATCTAAGTATCTTAACAGATGTTCAACTCTGAAAAAAAAATCTTGATTTCCTTTTGTTTATTATTATCTTCTCAATGAATTATTTCATTGCAAGTGAATTTTTGAAGTAAGGATATTGTTATTAGGTTCAACAAATATCATTATTTATTAATCTAATTGAACCATAAGTTGAAAATGAGGTTGCGGTAAACCCTGAGGCCGAGCGGGATTGCAAGGAATTGGGAATTTTTGTAAGACTACTTTTGTTTCAGGCTGAAAATGCAAAATTTGAATCGTAGATAGTCATGAATAACCTGTAAAGTAGACACGTTAGCATGTTATGGTGTGAAGTATCAATACTGAACTGTAGAATTAGGTGTCACAACATTGTGATCAATATGGCTTCTTCAGTGCTGGCAGTCTATCAGACATGATTTTGTCCTTTTTGTATTGTAAATCAGATCCCTTGTTTTAGATCTACGGCCACTAAACCATTTCTTCCTACTTTTTTCATTCAACCAGAAATTATGACTGTCTATTAGAAGTTAATTTTAACAAAATCCTTAGACTGTACATCTCAATAATTGCTAATTGGAAACTTATATTTTTACTAGATTTTTTATAACCAGGAAGCTATTGGGTATTTTTCTATTTATTTTAACAATGACTTATTTCCACTACAGCTTTAAGAGAAAATGGGCCGATCAAGATCAAGATCGCGCAGCAGAAGCCGTTCAAGAAGTAGAGGAAGAAGCAGAAGTTATTCTCCAGAAGGATACAGGGTTCATGTTGCAGATTTGGGCCTAGATTGTTCCAAGAGGGAAGTAGAAAGAACCTTTGAGAAGTTTGGCCCTTTGATTGAAGTATGGCTAGCTCGGAACCCACCGTGCTTTGCCTTTATAGTGTACAAACACAGAGAAGATGCTGAAGAAGCCATCAGGGATATGGATGGAAAGTATGATACATGGTGCCATTATATTGTGTTACAAAGTGAACATGTCACAATTTAAGGGAAATTTATAAATGAGGAAGTACACTATTTTTTACTTGCATGATGATATTTTTGCCATCTTCAATATAATTCACATATTCTTAAATTTATTCATAAATCCGTAATTTAAAATCTAATATATGTTGATGACATTTGTAGGACATTATGTGGGGGAAGAGTGAGAGTGAGCTTTGCAAGACCAAGGACTAGGGGAGCACGGAGACGTAGAGGTTTTGACCCAAACTTGAGGTGCTACCAGTGTGGAGAGAGGGGACATTTTTCAAGAGACTGTGACGAAATTTGGAGATCAAGAAAAAGGTGAGAAATCTCCTGTGTTAAAAAAGTCTTTATTTACCATTTAACTTGCATAGTTTAAAGCCATGCATCTATTTTATCTTTCAAATCAGTATTGCTTATCTTGCTTGCTAATGATATGCCCCATTTATGCACATTTATAAAAATGTTTGTACATACAATGTATCCTGTTCCAAATTTAATTTAGTGGTTACAGTAGCCTTTTGCAGAGTTGATTTGTTTAATTCTTATGTGGATACATTGAAGACCCTCTAGTTTTTTTTACTACATCAAATTGATTTCACTACCAGATTGCTGAAAAATATTTATTGGAATAATTAGAATCATTAATTGCACATTTTGTTAATTGTTTGTCTGTATATTTGTGAGTTATTGTAATCTGGAAAAAAATCTTTATGTTAAAGAATGTACAGGTTTAAGCTTTGCTTGTGTCCTTGTATCATAGTTTAAGTAAGCAGCATTATGACAGGTTTTATGAAGTCAGCATGTGGACATGGAGAGCAGTGTGGTTTTATTGGCCACTTAACGCAATAAGTACCATGAAAAAGAAGACTTTTTTGCCGTGCATCACCATTGCTAACCACACTGTAGACACCAGATTCATGATAAATTAAATCATCGTTGAAGGATCCAGCATAACAAGAAAACAGACTTCTTTATATTCTGTTGTCTTAAACAAAAACTAGGTTTTAAAATTATGAAAGGTCTATAAAGTTTTTGAAGTCTTTTTGTACAGGGAGGGGTGTATTATCTACTCGTATTTAGAAGAACACAATATTCTTATAATATATTAACCTGACAATGAGGAACTCTTTTGTTTTTTCCAAAGAACCTTTTGTAACAGAGAGCACATTTGACAGTGACAATAATTATAACAGATTTGAAAGATTCTTTCTTATCCTGGAATTCTCTTTTGATTTTTCACACTAGGCTGGTAAGAGCTTTTGGTATCAAATAATGGTATGATGGAATTGGTGATGGTGATGTTGTGATGATGATGATGATCATGGTGGTAAATTGGTGGTTAAAATGAGAGAGGACTGGCCCCTGTTGCTTGAAGAAGACCACAGCCTCTTGTGGTGCTTCTACTTCGGCATTAATTAAGAGAAAGGAGAAGGATGGTGTTGATGATGGTGGAGTTTAATGGATAATGGTTAGCCATAGGTCCTTGGGACCCCCTCCACAGGACTGGACCATCGTGATGTGGACACTGTTGTGTATGTTACCCCTTTTTTGGTAACACATCTTGTTCAGTTATATTTTTGTTTTCTGTAGATACAAGGTTGTACAGGTAAGAATTAATGAAGTCCACTTGCTACAAAGAAATTACTGAAAGAAGTTTTTTTTTCAGTATAAAATTATAATCAAATAATTTAACATACTGTATCAGATTTATGTTGTTTTCTTCGGACTTCAAATTGTACAGGAATCTCTGACTTCCTGGCTTTGATGACAAATCTTTTGAAAATGAAATTAGGAGCAGGAGGGCTTCATCATTAGTTGCATCATAGATGATTAAATTGAAATACCCCTCTTTTTGTATCCCTTTCAGTATAGGAGGTCTGTTTATTCCTCACCATGCTACTTATTTGAAACAGATTTTCTACATTCAAACACCCAAGCTAGCTTATTTGGATTTCTGCACGGAGGTTGTGGATATGGACCCTTGACAAAAAGAGAGAGATCAGTAAAATCACAATAGTACTGATAGTAGTAGAAAAGAAAGAAGAAAAGGGAAACCCTGAACTTTTTTTGATGAGTTGAAGATATATTGGTAAAATCACAATAGTACTGATAGCACTTAAAAAAAAGAAAGATGAAAAAGGAAACCCTGAAGTTTTTTTTTAATGAATTGTTATATTTTGGTTAATAAATTACTTGAGCAGTCTTAAGCAGCTGTTTGGCAAGTGCCTTATTCACACCCTCTTAAAAACCTCATTGATGAGTTCAGTCATATAATCATCAACTTAAAGAAATGATCTTTTGACTTACTGCAAATTAAACTTCATCAGAATCAAGTTATCTAGGTACAAATCAGAAGTCCGACTGTTAGTTCTTTTTTTCTTACGAAAGATATTATGTGTCATACTTCTGAGTCATAGACCGTACTTAAGTTTTTTTTTTTTTTTTTTTTTAAATTTTTTTTAAATAGTTAGGTATTTATTGAATATAATTTTGTACAGGGCTGAAATTGCCTTTGCCAGGCACTTATTTTGGTCCACGGGGCCATTATTAAGTATTTTATTTATAAATTTGGCACAATTACTTTACATCTGATTTGTTGAAATAAAAATGCAGGCTCAAAAAGTTCATGGAAAAAATACATCTTTAATTTGTTTGGCAATGGGAATTTCTTGCCCTTGAATTAATTAAGTCTATAAGCATAGAAAAGTAGAGCTTCAACTGAATTGAATGTAATTATTTTCCTTTGATTTCAGGTCTTATTCTAGATCCCGTTCTAGATCACGCTCCAGAGGTCGTCGCAGTCGCTCTCGTAGTAGATCAAGGTTAGTGTGTTATTTTATTTTAATAACAAACATGCATGATCTGTTTAACATAGCAAGTGGCAAATTTAGAACACTTAACACTATGTGAAAAGAGCAAATATATCTTTTTAATACTCTTTCTTGGAACAAAATATGTTTGATATAGCAGGCAATATGTCAGTAATATTATACAGTTAATGACTACTTGAGGTCGGTATGCTGTTTCACCAAAAGTTGCAACATGGCTGCAATCCAACATCAGTTGTCATCTGTTGTCCTTTTTCTTTGATGGGTAAAAAAATGGCAATTACGTCATGGGTCAGTATCATTTTTATTGATGACATTAGCTGTCAATATTATGTTTTATCCCATTTCAAGTCAATCGATATGAGAACATATTGTATGATTATGATATAATATTATGTTTTCAGGAGCAGAACACGTAAGGATAAGAAAAGAAGTTCTTCAAGATCTCCAAGGAGGTATGTGTAATGTGGATGTGATATAAGCATTCTGAATACAACACTTTAGGGATTGAATTTGTAGATTGTTGCAGATGCTAGTGTCATGTCATGTACAGCTACAACTTGAATTATGTGTCATTTATTCAGGTTTGAAGATATAAAATGCTATTTTTAAGACATATTCATTCTCCACAAAATGGGGTATATTTTCCAATAAATTGAATGTCTTATGTATTTAAACAATGCTAAGGATTCCAGTCATTATTTTCTTTTTTTTTTTTTTTTTTTTTTTATCACCCTTGAACAGCCAACTATGTATTGGTGCATGGATGCTTCTTTGTATGAATGAAGAATCACATTACATAAATTGAACAAACTTGCTCTTGAGATTGCAAGACTTTGAAAATGTTCATATTTAATTCATGCAAAGTATGACATATACAAGTTGTACTGGAAATAGTTTTCCTGCAAAATGTTGTCATTTTAATTATTGAGAATGCTGTGTGACTACGAAAGCTGTATATGGTATCTGGTAACATTACAGGCGCAGAAGTGACAGTGGACGTAATAAGGATAAAGATAGACAAGACAAAAAGAGCACTTCAAAATCGCCAAAGAGGTATGTTTGTGACTGCATTGATGATTTATCATACTCAAGATATGAAAAAAAAATGCCATAAGTCACAATTGAAAATTTAAAATTTCTGTTTTGCATGTTTAATTTTGATAAATATTTCAATAATATTTGCTTGAAATTTGTTTTATGTCTTTAACAACATACTTTATTATTTAAGAAACAAAAGTGAATCCCCTAAAAGAAAGGAGAAGGCGAGATCCAAGTCCCCAAAGAGGTAAGAAGAGCACAAGACTAAAAAGCAAGTTATAATAAATGGCATTAAGCCAGGTTTGAGGATGCAAAATGTTCTGTAAAAATGATGTATGGGATGTAGAATCAAGTTATCAGGAAAACTTGAAGTGTGCACTAAATGACCTAACATAATTATGTTCTAGAAGTCGCAGTAGAAGTCCTAGCCAGGACAGAAAAGATGACGAAGACAGAAAGTAAGTGTTATTCGGTTTTAACATTCTTTAGACGTTTAGTCTTTTTTTGCAAAAATGTATTTTCAGTTTAGAAAAGTCAGTTGTTACATATATTGATTATTTGCTTAGCTAGAAAATACGTCAAACTGTAGAAGGTAATACCATCTGGAACTAATTCTGTCTGCTCTTTTTACAGTGGTGAAAATGACAAGGAAGAGGCCAAGAGGTCTTCTAAGTCACCAAGAAAGTAAGTCTGGGTAGAGTCATTAATCATTTTTAATTTACATTTGTAGCGGTTCAGGTACCTCACATATTGTGAGTTGAATATAATTGTTCTCTAAATTAGAATTAAGAATTGTTGTATGTTTACCCTTTTATCACTGATAAGACTTCAATTTTGTCAGAATTCCGACTTTTCAGAGGTCATTTGGGTCATTCTTGTTAATTTTATACCCTGGACCCCCGGCCAATTTTCCTACTTTTTCAGTGAGGGCTGGTCTCATCCCTGTTTAATTGTGCTATCAATTTATTGAATTCAAAAAATTGCATGGAAAATGTTTGTCATGTTTACCTTTCATCACCTATTACAGAGGAGAAAGCAAATCAAAGGACAAGTCTAAATCACCTGCAAAAAAGAGGTTAGTCTGTATTTTTTAGTTCATGCTTTGATTTATCTGTCAGGTTACTTAACAGTCTTCTGAATTGAAAATTGACTTTTTGCAATTTCAGATAGATGATTGATTTAGACATTAACACCCCATTTCCATAGATTTTTAGATCGATCTATCCCTGTGGGGAGTCTCACTAGATTACTGTCAGCTTGGCTGGCTTAAGCATCTGTCCTGCCTACTAAAAGCTGTAAGGGGGAAATTAACTATGGTGCCTGCTCGGCTGACTGCAATTTAGCGTGAACCCCCAGGGAGTTAGGTCGAACTCTTAATCTTTATATCGATCTAAATCTCTGGGAAAGCACCCTAAGAGAAATTGTGATAGTTTTCTTCAGAACATTAAAAATACAATGTTTTATAATTTCAGTGCCTCAAGATCAAGATCACGATCACGGTCCCAGTCTAAGTAAACAGAAGCACCAGAAAAGTTGGAAGAATACTTATTGGTTCAGTTATTTCGAGCCTGTAACATTTGTTTAGTCAAATGACATAGATTGCTATAGTGTTATCATGAAATCGTTTCTTTAATATCAAAGTGAAAGCAGTAACAGTAACTATAGCACAAAACTTACGACTTTTTCTGGGTGAAACTCCAGTAAGTATGGCACAAACTTGGATGTAAAAATGCCCACTAAGATCATTGTTATCAAATATTTTTCATTTTTGAACTACATTAGGTAGCTTTGTATAATTGTTAACAAGAAAGGTGTTGATTAACATTTTTTTGTAAATGAAAAACCATTTAGAAGGCATCAGCGGCAGATCAAAACTAAGTAAAGATAGCCAAACGTCAGCCCACCCCTTTTTTGGTCTTCCCACTCTTCAATACTATTGGAATGTGGAGATGAAAATGGGCAGTTTTGTTTGTTACCCTTGTATCAGCCGATGGAGCTTACATACAATATGAATAGAAGTAGGGAGTGGATTAGAAAAATAACATTCCATTTTTGCAAAGCATCAAGTTAAAACGGCTTTTTTAATGAGTGCAACATGGATAATACAACCTATCAATTGCATAGCAGTTTAATGCCTTCTGTTTTGTCGTAGGTCAACTGCATACTGTATCGCTTATTTGGGTATTACATTTCAAATTTCCATATAATGCATTGGGTCTATTTGTTATATTAACCTAGAGCATTTTGTCTTGTCATTCACAATTTTAATATTACAATGGCATAAAACGTTTCCAACTATGTACTGTTTAGGGAGAGCTTCCGATTGAGCAGCGTTATGTAAACCTCTCATGAAAATTGTTTATTTTTAAAACATTGATAACATATTTCTTGGAAGTAAAACACTCGTATAGACTCATTCAGCTTATCTTTGTATCCGATAAGGAAATAAATGGAAATAATTTAAGGCAGACTGCTCTGGTAAAGCAATATGTAAATAATATAAGTCTGGAGGCTGTAGATGTGCAGTTTGCCGGTAACAGACACCTGCTTGCTTCTCACGGTGTGCACACTTTGTACGCGGTTTCCATGGTTTCATTAGAGTTAATAAATTGGTAATACTGATCTGGAGTTGGCTGCCGATTGCTGTACATTCAGGTGCGGTCACTGCGAAGACTGCCACTGGGCCAGGGGAGGGGGGGGGGGTAATGGCAACCTGAGCACGTGAAGTGAAGCACGTCCTATCGCTATACCCCCACCTCGGGTAGCTGTAATATGTTTGTTCTTCGACGTCCGGAATGTCCATTTTCTGCAAGAGATTTTTTAAAAAATGAATAAATGAAGCAGTATATCAAAAACTTGCAAAAATAGCTGCAGAAACTGGGGAAATTTACTGCATATAATCAGTTGGACTAAAAGGGATTCCAGTACTTTGCGAGGTGTCACGGAGGCGTCTTGTGGAGACTTTACAGTATAAAACACCATTTATCATTACTTTTTTAAATTTTTGTTTATATTTTCAACAGGGAAACAGACCAGACCAAGTAGCACTTCAAATCTGTACGCTATTTAAGAAAAAAAATTCGTCATACTGTGTCTTGTTTGTTGACGCAAATATAAAGCGGGATAAAGTTGAGAGAATGTGAAAATATTTTAGACTAGACGTAGATGTTGCTGTGAGCGATTCTAAGGCGCCCCCCTCTCTCTAGGGATAAGGGCCAGGAGCATGCCAGAGATTTGCCATTGGTTTGTTAGTGTCAGAACTTGATCACGATAAACTTAAGTAACCTTCCTATGTCATTGCCTCCCCCCCCCCCCCCTCAATAATACCTGTTGCGTGATTAATTCATGAAATACGCAATGACAAATATTTCGTTTACCTTTGATATGCTCATCCCCTAGGTTGGGTGGGGGCATGTGTCCCCCATTAGGCAAGAGGCTAAGGCGTCGTCCCAGAGGATTACGACGGGACATGGAGTCCACTCTCATACGTGGAAAACTCTGAGGCACTTGGAGTTGTGGTGGTGTGGAAGGAGCGACCACTTCGTCGGTGAATGTGACCGTGATGGCCGTGTGTTCTCCGGTAGCTGAAGCTGCTGAAAGTACAGAGATAATAAGCACGGTTGGTCCTATAGCTTGGTTGGGATCACAAAGTTTTATTCTTACTGTAATTATTTGATTGTTTTCGAGCTTTAAAAAGCATAAAGTTTAAGAATAACAATCACCTTATGATTCAGCATAAGAATAAGCAAAAGTAGATTATCTAAAAATAAATCGAAAATACCATCCTAGTAGGGCCTAAGTGTGAATTATTTTGTAATAAAATGAAACTGAAGTGTTTATAGAGATGGGTGATTACCTGCCTGACTGGAAAAAAAAGTTAACAAGGGGCACTCTGACATGAATCATATTGACAAAGTAACGAGTGCGGTTATTCGGGAGTCCAAGATAATTCCATATAGAAAGAATAAAAACAAAAAACGATGCACTTTATTCGACTTATGCAAGTTATAAGGCGTTGGTCAGTATTAGGAGCATGTTTTGTGCCAGTTACTTAGTTAAAACTTGGACTTGGCCTAGGATCAGTTTAAAACTCGGCACAAATATAATTAAAATTATATTCTACTCACTCTAGTATGAGTAATATTATTTATCTGTATATCAATTTTTAAAGGGGAGGGGCAGCAGTGTACAGCAAGCTGTATTTCAAAATATAATGATGATAAAAAGGTTACCTTTAAAAAACAGAACAATTACGTCAGCTGCATTCACTTAACAAGTAAATGGCACTTGTCAAGAATGTAGTATCACTGTCCCGTTATCAATCATGGGATACTTGTTATTATCAAAACTGTGTTCGTTTATATTGAAAATATTGTGCGAAGTAGATACTGTTTCTTCTGTTTTTGCTATAAATAATTTGTGCTATTATCGAAAATGTATCGATTTTAACCAATGGCGATAAACTTCCGTTATCGATTGGTACCATTTTTCGTCGCACTTACTCGTTCATGACATTGTCGTTAATGATTATTTACAACATTGACCGGGGCCTCATTAATATTTTTTTGTAAAATCTAAAAATATGAGAAATGTGATAAAAGGTTAACAATTAAGTTGACGTTATTGGGATACATTTGACGCAAGTGCTCGAGATTCGATAACATAAACATTTGCTAAGGTCTCTATACTTTTTTTCTATTCCTTAGCACAATAGTAATAATAGTTCATCGGAGAATGCAGCAAGAACAATTTAACAGTAAATTAGACAGCCAAAAATGCAATTCTTTATGAAATCTTATCTGTATGCTTACCTTCCTTTCTTTGGTTTTATAGCTGTACCATTTAGCAAAGGTTTGATTGGGGCGTAACACTGATCTTTATAAATAATGCTAATTTCTCCGCCTACCTGATGCGTTAGTGCTACCGTTGACTTTCGCCATCTCGCTGTCTCCGCTGTCTTCCAGGCTGTCTTCGTTACCCTCTTTGTCCGGGTTATTGTTGCATTCAGCAGAATACTGGCAGCTGGTGTCCGGGGTAGGCACTCGAGAAGAAAACTCGCTCCCTGGGCACTCACTGGGCACCCCGAATCCGCCTTGGCACCGCAATGGGTCAGCAAATCCAATAAACGGATTTTTCTTTTTCTTGGGAAGTTTAAGTTTTGCTTGAGCATGGGTGTAATACATAGCAAAATTGTTCACTATGACAGGCACGGGAAGGGCTATCATTAGTACACCACACATGGCACACAGGGCCCCAACTATGTATCCATATGGTGTCTTAGGAACGATGTCGCCGTAGCCAAGCGTTGTCATGGTAACCACAGCCCACCAGAAGCCACGTGGGATATTCCAAAATGAGCTAGGATCGTTTGGATTTTCATCCAGAAGTTCTGCGTAATATATCAAAGTTGCGAAAATTAATATACCTAGAAACAGAATAAGAATTAAAAGAACCAGTTCCCTTGCGCTTGCTTTGAGCGTGTGAGAGAGAATTTTGATTCCACTGAAGTGTCTCGTCAGTTTGAAAATACGAAATATTCGTATCAGCCGAAATAGTTTGAGGAATTGTATCTGGTAGCTTTGTATACTTGGGTCTATGATAATAACGATGTATTCCATATAGAATGGCAGTATTGAAAATAAGTCCACCCAGTTTAGAATTTCTTTGCAGAATTTCTTTTTATCTGGACAAAACAGGACTCTGAGCACAAACTCTAGCGTGAAGAAAGCCATGTAAACATACTCTAAGTAGGCGAAAGCTGCAACAGGTTGAGACTGGTTTCTGATATGGGTAATGGGAACGGCCCCTGTCTTTAATCCTATCAGATCACACCGCAGGTCGGGTCTTGTAACGTTTCGTGGGTGACATTCCCGTGTTCGCTGATCGGTTCTCTCACATAACACACGGTCTCCAAACAGAACGCAGTGATCGATATAACGATAAAAAGCAGCGATACAGACGTGATGACCTGAAACGAAAAGAAAGTGACTGGAACATAAGGGAAGAATAGGAGACTTACAGAGGGTTCTTATTATGGCATAATCATGTTTTGTCGAAAAACGATCCCCCTACAACGGTTACATATTCTGCTCTGCAGGCTCCGAATATTATGGCATAGCTACTGGATTTTCGACCGTAGACAGGGGCAGGGTAGGAGAGTTTGGACGTTGTAATTTTTTTGATGGAAATGGTCTACTCTGAATCAAAATTTGGTAAAGGTTCTAAATCGCTTTTGAAGGTAGGTTAAATAAATTAATTTATGGGGCAATAAGGTCAATTTTTTTCGGAAAAGGACAACCCATTTGAAATTCCTGACTACAGGCATATAATAGCGTGAATAAAACGGAGAGTAAAAATAAAACAATCTTTCCTTCAAGTCATAAGCCTTCGAAATATTGAAAAAGTATGCAATATTAAGGGATCCCTTACTTGCCATAAAAAATTTAAAACATGAAGAATTCAAGTAGTTTCCAGATTACAAACGCTTTTAAAATTAGTTTGAGATAAATTTCCGCAACAGCAACATATGTTAGCACACTATTAGCATACAATATTACTATTATTATGCTATACTCTATATATACTGTAATATCGAAATAATCTCTGAGTTGACTTTATGACAGCATATAATATCAGCCTTATATTTTGTTATATGGGTGCCACTTTCTCACCCTCCGTACAAAATTGCACACCTTAAACGAAACAATTTCTAAGTTCCACCTCTAGTTGTTCGAATTCTAAAGATTGTTGATCAGCCCTGCCCCAAAGACTGCGGAAAGGATTAAGGAAAAATAATTGCCGGGTTAAATGGTTACCATATATAATTCAAATGAGTAAATATTACTTAACATGCAGCGGTTCATTACCCCTCTGGCCCCAGATACAGAAAAGGGACGTGACCCTTGTATAAGAAAACGTTGCAGCAGTAAATTCTATTATTTGTACTTTTTGTCTCTTTGGCGTTTTTTTTTCTTGGTGCTTAGACTATACTGGAAGTGCAGAGATATTTGTTAGTTCCATTAGAGGCTTTCTACTAAGTTTAGATATTGAATTACGCATGATGGATGAATCGAAATTCAATTTGGAGGTTGACGAACCAGGCGTGCACTGGTTGATGTTTTCGTTATTCAGACACTTCGTCAAAAACTAGCAAATATAGGCGTATACTAAGGGCGAAATTTAGATTCTGCAATAATTAAAAAAACATCACCAGGAAAGTAAAGGAGATACCAGAGAAAAATATGAAAATAACGATGACAAATATTACTGCTGTTCAAAGTCAAAGTAGTATCAACACATCTCAGTTTTATTAGGCTGATTTTTGATATTGACATAAAGTAAACTAAGACATTAATTATATATTACTATAGTATATAATATATCGCAAAATATTGTATGCTAACAGTAATGCTAAGATATGCTGTTGTTGAACAACTCGTCTCGAACTAATTCTAATAGCGTTCGTAATCTGAAACCTATATGATTTCTACGTTTAAAATTTTGTTTTGCAGTAAGGGGTTCCTTATTTTTACAGACTTGAGAATTCAACTACTGTAAATTTTATTCGTCCAAGGTCAAAGTGTCTACTTACTTTAGCTAGTCTAGAGGAATAAGGATCTTCAAGGATAGCCCAAATTTTAGGACGCCATCTTTGCCAACAATTTTGATCCGGTGGTGCTTCTTCAATTCCAAATATTGTAGCAATTCGAGAAACTTCGTCGTTTTCTTCTTCACTCTCCGTGTCAGCACCGTCCATTTCATCGAGGGTTTTCTGTGCCTCTTTGTGTGAGATATAATTCATCCAACAACATGGTTCAATTTGTTTTTCGTCTATTCCCCAGTATTCAAGTTCAGCCTCGAAAATAGGTCCACAAAGATCGGATGGAGCGTGAAGTTTCCCTGTTCGGTAGTAATTCAAGATCATAACAAAAATACCTGGGTGGCGATCGAAAAAGTACTCTCCGGTCACTGCATCGTAATCCGTATTCTGACTTTTCGTCTCCGTGAGCCACGCCAAACGCGTGTCGGGGACGTTTTTTAAAGTTGATTTGTACGTCTCGTAGCGTACACCGCCGACGTTTATGACAACCTTGTTACTGTCACTGTACCGCCTCGATGGGATCATACTGCCAGTTGGTGTGACGGCGCAGGCCGCACTGTGAGGGCCTCCGGACCATGAGGACCGGTCCTCGCACCCACTCATACTTGTGTAAACAACGGTGATCTTTGTTGTACACAATAAGATATGGTAACAGCGACTATTTATGCAACAATCCCTTTATTTGTGTTCTTTTCTGTAATCCGCTATCACTTTTCAGCCGACGTGGCACCGTGCCCACCTTCGTCAAAATCGCATGAACAAACCATATCTTGGCGCAGAAAATGAGAATGTTCAGCAAAGAAAATTAAGCTGTTATCAGTAAGTCTTCGATTTCTTTGACGTATTGTTGCCAGCACACCTGTAGCAGCTTTGACTTTTCCCACATGAAAAATGTTTCAAAACAGTGAAATTACCTTTACTTTGCAATGTCATAGCATGTCATGGGCCCCTTCTGGAATCAAGGTAACACAAGTCGAAAGTCCTGACGCAAGGGAGACCCATCGTGTGAATGATTGGGTGGTCACATTCCACTGTGACGGGAAAACAATTCACAAAAGTCAAATTACATGCTGATCAATTATGTATTTGGAGCCGTCCCCTGACCAGTTGCGTATTGATTGGAACGCTGAGCCGAAATATGGATAATCGTTATGTTTCTTTAATCAGGGTTTGCTTAATTTCTGTAGATTTTCTTGCCTGCAATATTAGCAAAAGAACAAGCAATGCTATCGCAACTTTCATTACTCTTCTTCTGGAATTCATCATACAAAACGCCAAAAGTATTACATTGTATTATATGATAGACGAATCGGGCGTCCGCATAATTACATTTAAGTTTTACATTTCACATTTTACTCTTACATTAAAGTTTAAGCAAAAGAGACTCGGTGCAGATTAAATCGTTCTCAATTAAGACTTTATATAAGGAGCTCATATCTAGCTTGGTAATATATTTCATTTTGTTGTTATTTGCCTGCACCTACTGGCATGACTTGCACACCTTCCTACCATGCCTTCGATTGTGTAATCAAGCGTAACATATCACAGATAAATCATCGACGCACCTGCTTCATACACGAGGGCACGGGTGCGCTGAACCGTACCGTGGTAGACAACAAGAACAACAACCATGAACTTTCATGTTATTCTTACTAGACAAAAAGGAAATCGATTCTGATAAAACATCGACCAATATTTGTCCTGGCGTATTTTTTTCTTATGCATATTCGTTTCTTTATGAACGTGAAAATTGAAAATGAGTTACACGTGTGTTAGGGCACTCACTGAAATCAGTTACTCAAGACAAGGGACTATACGCTCAAGTTGTCGCCTGAATATATATTTAAGAGATGGAAAATTAAGATACAATAAAAAAAAGAGTAAAAATGGCAGATGGAATCGCCTGAATAAATGGATAAGGAGTCCAACCTTGTTCACTCGCGCCCTTTGTATACAGAATTGAGAATAATTTCACCAATATAGCTCAATGTCCATTCTAATTATTTTCAAATAATTTTTATAAAAAATTGGTTTTCCTAGGCTCATGCCCTATGACATACTGCAGTAAGAAACTGCCATAATTCAACTGGAGAGTGTCTTCGATTTGTCAGGCAGATTAAAAACAATTGCAAACTATATTGAAACTCAGATAAGCAAGATCGATGATTTCTATCTTGCAATAAAACATGTCAGCATCACTTCCAAGTAAATCATCAAATCCATTCCTCGTCATAACTAATAGAACGAAAATAGTCATAAATACATGACAACGTTATCTCCCGGTCAACTGAAAACAAAAGTGATGACAAAATAAATATCGCGACATTTGGATTTTTATAGATAATTTCTATACGATTTTAGTTTTTATCTTCAAAGAGGGCAAATATCTCAGGTCTTTTAGAAAGCTTCACTGACGGAGGAGTTTATTTCAGAATCCCCGTATCGTCAGAAATCGTTTAGACGCCATTTTAATTTCTCTTAAATGGCTTCCCACCACGTGATTGTGATAACAATTCAAACAAAAATAGAAATAAGAATAAAAACTAGAAATAAAAAACCAATAAAAAAACTGAAACAACATTCATTTTTCATTTAAGTCGATGTTTTTGGCTTAAAAGGAATCAAGTATATGTCTGTTAAAGAAATGCATGTTTTTGTCGAAATAAATACGTGTAATGATAGGGTATTTTGAATATCTAACAAGAAAGATTATCGGTGATTGCTAAAAAAAAAGGGGGGGCGATGTCGTTGGGAAATTTTGTTTGTTTTTCCCACGCCAACAATCCAAGATTCTTCGAAATTTCACATTTTGAGAGCCAAGAGAACAATAGAAAAAAAAAGACCTCAACATTCAATAAGGAATGTCTCAGTCATTGACATCGACAGATGTTGTAATGGCTATGCTAGCAGGTCGTGTTAATTTAAAATGCTTTCTTAGATTAAAAACCAATGCAAATGAGCGTTAAAAAGCTGTCATGAACATTTTTTCGAGTTTTGTAACCACTCATGATTATGAATCACGTTGGAGCGATGGACACGTGCTCAACTTAGTCACGCTAGAAAAATGAAACAACTTTGTCAAAACAGTGATATAATAGTGACAGCGGCATGATAGGACAGATTCAACAACTTGTCAACGCGAGCTAGAGGTCGAGACGTGTCTGATAAGATACAGAGAGCAAGATACAGGTCGAAGGCTCACATACGTGCCCGGGACTGCATGTCTACAGTTTGAGTCTTCATCCGAGCACGCAATTATAATGGGTATACGTCTGCTTGGCGTGCTTTTGCTGACGTGGTGTGGTAAGTTATTGTTTAATATCTTAAAAGTGACAACAATGAAACTTACTGAAGCAAATATAAGGTGTAATATTGTGTGTTATTTTGGTGTAATAACTATTTTACACCAAAATAACACAAAATACAACTTACGTTATTTATAGCGCGCCGGAAAGAAAAAAATAAGTAACACTGTTAGTATAGCCCACTTACTGCAACTTATGATAGCGTTTTCGTTAGTCTTTTCATCAATCGTTAATTTCCAGGTGTGAAGAGTGCACAGGTCATCAGTGACAACGATCTGTCGACGATAGCCACAACATTATGGAACAGTGACAGCAACGCAGCCATTGAAGACAGAGACTTCAGATTAAACCTTCAGAGAAAGATCACCAGCTACAACAGCCGTACTGACCTTGCAAGCAGCAAGTTAGTAGTTCTAACATTGCTGGGAAAGTTTACCAGTTTGTAGTATATTTGGTGTATAAGTCGGCATTTAGTGCCGACGAGATCAATTAAGTTTGCGTTTGTAATGGAAAAGTAAGATGGCGCCTGCAATATAACCGAGCATCGGCAGCAGGTACTACCGACACGTTGATGATTCCTTTCTGACCATTCATATTTATGCTGGAAAATGAACTTCAACAAAGTAACCATGCCATGCGTCATCAGTGAATATTAGCCTAGTTAGAAAAGAGATCCGTTTATCTATTTTTAATTGATTATCTTAAAAGACAACATGAATTCTCCCTCCAGCAGATTCAATTGCAAAGAGTTCACATATAGTGCAGTTTTCGCTCAAAGGTGCTTCGTAATTCTTAACATTTGGGCATGCTGCACTTCTTAATGCACCCCAAAAAACAAGGTAAAAGCAAAAAGTCAATCTTGATGAAAAATTGGTTTCGAAAACAAAACATTGGAGTCCCTTTCCTCTTCCAGTACGCAGACGTAATTTATATGATATGTGTTCAATTCTTTTATATTCATTATTTATATAATTGTAGAGGATTTTCACATTTCCTTTCGATTCATTATTTTACAGGCTATTTTCATCTCTTGATGAAAAGAAACTTTTTGCCAAGCCAACGTATGCCAAGTTCATCGCCTTGTTAAACAACTACATAGCACAGACTGGCAGAACAGAGTCCGTTTCTTCCACTGAGCAACGGGAAAATGAAGCGTTCCTAGACGAAGTGCTCAAAACCACAGTTATGCAGGAGGCATGGAAGTTTTTGCAAACAAAGGGTAATCTAATCAAGTTTGAATTATCCAGATGAAAGATGGTGGTGGATTTTTTAATGTAAAATTCTGAAAATGAAAGTTTATTTGCAGTCACCTCCTTTTCTTAGATCACAAACGTTTCATTAAAATGTTTTTATCCTAGAAAGATAATCTAATTTGCTAATTAGCAAATAGATTAAAATTAATAAATGAGAGAGAGAGAGAGAGAGAGGGCGAGACTTAAAGACAAACTGCGAATTTTTTTTCAGGATATAGTAGTTCCAGTGCTACAGGCTTCAAGGGTCAACTACGTAGCATCTGGTTCACGGCCTACTCCCGGGCCCAGGGAAGGCAGGACACTAGTGGGTTTGAGCACGTGTTTGTGGGAGAGATAAAAAACAACGCTGTAACGGGACTTCACAACTGGATCCAGTTTTACCTGCAGGAGAAAGCAGGCCAGCTTAATTACTACGGATATTTTGTTCAAAGACAGGTAAAATAATTGGAATACTATTTTTTTAAAATGCCTTTATGATCTGTACGTTTTTTCCGTTTATCATTTTTAGCAAATATAGCAGCTTTTTAGGTGCCATTTGCACGTCAGAAACCTGATAAACTGCTTTTGATATACAGTTTCACAACCTTCTAACTATTGAAATAAATATGTATGGAATCATTTTTCATAAATTAAATAGATGATGTGTACGTGTTCAAATGCTTTCACAATGTCTTGCAGCTGGAGCAGATCAAACTCCAGTACAAATGGCTTAATACGATGAAGGCAGCTGGCAGTATGTTTGTGGGCACTAGTCCAGAGTTCGAGATTGCCTTGTACACCGTGTGCTTCCTCACCCGGCCAGACCAGCCCTGCGAGATGAGAATCAACGGCAACTATCTGAGAGTTATAACCTATGACGTGTCATACATAACCAATAAGAAAATTCTGGCTTCTGCTTATCCAGACACATAAACACTGGAGAATGTTTTAATGTTCAGATGGCTTTGTCACTAGTAAAATCTCAACATACCCAACTGCATCAGTGTTTTGATGGATATACTTCAAACTTCCACAAAGGTTAAGCCTTATCCTGTTTATGAAATAAGTAAAAAGTTTCAGATATAATTTTGAACCAATTTCTTGATCTTCAAATTGAAATAGTAAAAGCCCAGTGAATATCACATACTGGTCTGCCTCTCAAGTGACTGCCTTCTTTGAATTGTATACTTTGACTCCATTTGATGTGGACGCTCTGGCATATTTCATGAGAAGAGCACCAGTCCCCATCTTTTCTGTTGCCACATCCCTGAAAATAATAATAATAATAATAATAATAATGAACAAATATGACTATTGAGACAATATTCCTTGTCAGATGGTAAAGAGTCTAAAGACCAATTGAAATGTCTAAAACACACAACAATTGAAACCTGGTAATTTTTCTTATGTTCAGTTCATTTTTATTCTAGCCAATTTCCAGATGTTCCAACCACATCCTTATATGAAGGATCAATGTTAGACAATATCCAAACGTTGCCTCATCATAAAAGGACTTACTTTATGTATGGCGTAATTTCCTCCTTTGTCCATTTTTCTCTTACTCTGAACAAGGCATTAAACCTGTAGGTAAGATAACATTGATTTAATGAAATATTAGATAAATATTCAAGATGGGCTAAATAGAATAAAACATATACTTATATTCATCAAGTAATTCAAACAGAATACAATCATATATCCTTGAGTGTGAAGGCTGATCAAACTTTTATTAGGTCTGTAATTGTATACCATTACACTTACATCATGCCAAAAAAATTATTTGAAGCCCTTTCATATTTGTTCCAGACATAAAATTTAAGGATCAAAGTACAGGCATCCCTATTAAAATAACACACAACAATTAACTTTGGCCAAGGAAAATATATATTGTTTTGCTGATCTAAGAAAAGAGGTATTGATGGAGGAACAGCCTGTGTAAATTTCTCTGATTGGTTACAAAATCAGCGATCACATCAATGGAAAATATTAAATTTTTTCAGAACTTATTCTATTAAGATAATGTAATAAAACAATACCTGGCTTCTATATCTTCAGGTAATTCTTCCACTGGGAAATAGATAATCACTTCAGGTCTACTCGTCTTATCTATCAAGGCAAGTCCCTAAAAGAAAAGTTCAAACTAATGTTACAAAGACATCTTATTGTAACATATTTACAACACTATAGCAGTTCAGGATGTTTAATATTATTAAATATTTGAATTCATTCTTACGTAATTTTTTAAAATTAAGAGAATCTCACTGAATTGCCAGTAAGCAGGTTTCTACTGTTGGTAAAAATATCTGCCAAAGTTCAACTGTTGGATTTTCTAATAAAAGGACAGACTGAAACACTATTTCAAATATGTTAACTGTTGATCTATACATTTAGATCCATACCTCAAGCTGACAGGAATCCGTTTTCATTCCCACTGGTACACTTTCCTGCCATGTCAATAAAAATTCCTGGAGGTTAAACTGAAAAGAATTGAGTATAAATAACAGTTACACATAAAAAATAATAATTTGTTGCCTTAGGCAGACTGCAACAATTTACTCATCGGACTTTTTACACGCTAGAATTTGAAGTTTTTGTCACTAGAACTGTAAGGACAGTTACCTTTTCTGATGCACGTAGCAAAATTTCTGCATAAAATCTACAGATTTTGCTTTCACATAATGCATATTCCACATCTGCAGAATCAGCTTCTGAAATTGTTAATTAAATTTAGTATGAAGAATCTTTAATCATTATTACATAATATTATTTAAATCAGCTCATTTAGACAATATTAACTTTGAATATCGCACAATAATACAAAATCTCAATGATCTTAAATTCAATTTTTTTTAAATATGAGCCAAGTAGCACAGAGTGAGTAAAGGATGCCAATTCATTAAGTAGACTAAACAAAAGCACAAAAAACACACCCATATTTTTCCCTCCACCAGGATCAGATTTTGTTCCATAGCAATCAAGGACATGGATTATGATGTGTCTGAAAAGAAAGCAGTTTGATCCTCAAATGCAGGGCATTGCTTATTTTTCTTCAGTGGCCATATCTTTTAATGTCATCTATTATAAATCAATACAATTGATAACATGGAGAAAAAGATCCAACTTATCATTTAATAGTTAATGCCTCTCTTCACCTGTCATAGAGATCTTGTAGCTCCTCCAGGCATGTCCTCAGGGGCAAGTGGTCAGTTGTCCAGTCGTTCTCCTCCACCAGGCCAGCGATGCTACTTAGTACTTTTTGTAAGTAATCAAAGTCTAACATCCTAATGTAACCTGGAAATTTAAACACTCCACATTAAATAAACCATTTTTATATTTTTGATCATCTGAAAGTTAATTTGCCACATTTTAAAGAAAACGGTCAGTAATATGCAAAATTTGATATGAAATATTTAAACAAGGAAATGCCATGTACCTAAAACATCTTTGCTCCAAATAGTATATTGTAGTATTACAATTATATCAAACAGAAATAATATATATAAATGAAGATGGGGGTGGAGTTTTATACAGTGCTGGAAGGAAGAATACTTCAAATGCTTTCATATCTAATCCAATAATACCTACCATCTATTTCTACAGCCTGTAGAGCTTTGAGGCCTTCCTGGATTTCTCCTTCACTTGCTTGTACTAACTCTTTTAAATCAGCATAAGAATACTATAACATAAAAATATATATGTACATAACACCTTTATTTAGCACTCTTCTCAAAGAGAAAAAAGCCTAGTGTTTAGTCTTTACTTGACCATGATGAGCACTTCCCACTACTGGGAGCAATATACACCAAAGACTTGTTACTATCCAGATGCATGTCATAAAAATCAACATATGATAACTCTAGCAAAGATTTCAATTTGAGTTTTTTTTGTTTGTTTGTTTTTTCACCTCTGAATGGATGAATTTCCACTGTTCTGTATCAACATTATATAACATAAATAGCTGACAATACATGTACCTTTCTTCCATGATGATTTTCATCTTCCTCACATTCTGGTCCACTATACACATTCTCCTCCAATAATTCCTTCATTTTTTTCAGTCTTGGTTTAATGGGGCGTAACTCAAAGTAATTGTAGAGTATAGCTGATACCTAAAACAAAGATTACAAAAATAAACAAGATCAATTGAATAGTTGATTTTGAAAGGAAATATATATGAAAACTAAGAGAACTTCTTTCATGAAAATTGAATCAAAATGTTCAAACCCTACACAGCAACAAATTCAACTACTGGTACAAATGAAAATAAAATATTTTATTTAAATCACCTCTTTTTCTATGATTATCTCCTTTTCCCCCAATTTCTCTGGCAATAAAAGGTCAGGCAAAATCAAGACTGAGTTTGAGGTTTCTGCCTCTTTAATTTCAAATGTTTTACGATTTGTACACACTACCGCACTATCAGTCTTGTCGCCACGTATAGTCAATCTGAAAAGTGAAAAAATAATTGATAATAAAGAAATATTACATATGAAATATAAGATTCACTGTTCAACAGTAATTAGTAATAAGCACACCAAACAATTATATAAATAATATTGGTCACCTTTCTCCAGTCACCAGATGCTCCAACAAAGATTCATCAACTTCCATAAGTTTGACAGAAGTATTGTCCATGTGTGTGGAGAAATGTAGACATTGTACTGTGGGGTTAACTTCAGCCCTGTCTAACTTTGCAAACTCCATGATCTGATGGATGTCTTCCAGAGTCCTAAATGTAGAAGAAGAAAACGCTGAGACGTACAGCATCTTGCTTTAACTACGGGTGTTAATTATGTTAACAACGCTTAAAATTTGCAGTAACCCCCCCCCCCCCCCCCCCGCCCTTAACGTAGGCTATCACTTTGGTGCTTAAGTGCTTGTGTTAACAATAAAAACGCCTCAATGTAAACTTTTGACCTACCTGTCTCCATTGGACAGCATTCTTGTTGTGCAATACGCGTCCATCGTGCTATCTGCCGGAGCATCTACCTCCATTTTTCCCGCGGACGAAAATGGAGCTATTCGAAATAGATGCAATTCATTTTCGCATATAATAAGTTTTATTTTTCATCTTTTTATCCATATAGTAGCTCTTATATTTCAATATAAAAAAGTTTATTTAACACGTTCTTTTGATATTCTTATGGTCTAATAATTTCAAGATCTTGTCAACTTGTTATACTTCAAAACAAAGAAAAAGACGAATAACAACTCTGCATATATTGTAAACAATTATGATAACGACGTGTGGCGATGGAACGTGCCCGCCAGAGCCAGTCAAATTTCCTCAGATTTGGAGATGTTATAATCATAGGAGAACAACTGAGGTAAAGTGATCTTAAGAGGCATTATTTGGAGAAATATTTTAGATGGAACGACAGACTTGTCATTTTCCATTACTGTTTGAATGAATGAATGAAATTGCTACACCAGTACGTGCCATCTTTTTGTACATCTGACCTGTATTTCTGTTTAACCATAGTAATAGCTGTACTGAACGTCTAATAAGTCCTCTACGGACATTTGAATTTGTACCCTAGCTGTAAGACCTACCTACCTTGAAAAGAAAAATCGCTTATGTTGTGTGCGTGTTGGCATTTTTAACCTTTTAAAAACTTGGAACTGATTATAACCAAGTCATTGGGTTCAAGGTTCACTTCTTGGAGTGTTCAAAACAACCTTCTTTGGTTTTTGGAAGTAGGTTATAAGAAATTTGTGTTCTAATTTTAATGTCCATCATTTATATAGAGGAACCTACATTGCCTGTGGTAAAATGAATAGTACTTCATTGTCTGACTCTCGTATTTGTTATTCAAGGTACTGAGTACTGGTATACTAGTAGAAGACTTCCTTTACCAGTATACATGTTTATACTGGGGTGCATTTGTTTTATTATTCAGAGCTTAGACCCATTATACATAATTGTAATTGTAATGAGTCCAATTATAATGGGTCCAAGTTCAGAATTACTATACAGACTGCCCTAAATCTATTTTTTCAGAGAGGATCTGAATAAAGAAAACCCCAACATTATTCAAACAAGAAGATATCATTTGAGAAACTACAGCAAATGTTTTGTTGGCAAAGAATTGGTACAGTGGCTAATAGATACACACAGGGTTCAGGACAGAGAGACTGCAGTATTACTTATGAGAATTCTTCAGGATCATTATGTACTGCATCATGGTGGGTACATGTACATCTGATATTTATTAGGAATAATGGGTGATTATTTTTCTCAACTATGAATAATACTTTCTTTTGTGTCAAATTGGTATATTTGTTATTCTGTATGGTTTAACATCATTGAAGTGTTTAATGTCACTTCATATTATGTATAGGAATGAATATTTTTATATTGTATATTTATTGAAATTCACATATCTATATACATAAAAGATATAAATATAAAATTAAAAATTAGAAAAAAATTATTGAAAATTTTTTACCTCTGATCTTTTCTTTACTTATGAGTTTGTAAAGTGACAAATAAAATGATAACAGGTAATTTAAGCAATACATAAATATTGTTCATTTGGTTGTTTTATTCATGGTAATGAGTTTGTTTCTCAGCTAGAAGTTTGCATAAAGAGAAATAGAGATTGTTGTTTGTTTTAGTTGTAATAAAGTCCATGTATAAATTTATCTCTCATACTTGATAGCTGAATCCTATTGTTCCTTAAAAGAGTGTGTTGCTGCCATTTTTATATTCCAAAAAATATTAATTATTGCTGTGTTTTAATGAAGATATTTTCATTAAATGGGGTTTTGTCACTTTGTAATTTTGGACAAAAACTTTTCCTCTGCTGTGGCCTAACACACTAAAAGATGTATGCATTCAGTTATGAACAATGAGATCCCATATTTAAAAAGTAAGGTTAATTAAATATTAGATTGATTAGTATAAATTAAGTTGCAAAACTTTATTATTTTTTTAAATTAAATGTCAAAATAAAATTATTTTTTCTCTGTTCCCCATTGTAACCCAGTACACTTCTAATTTAATCTTAACCATGATAAACTTTGTAGATACTTAATCACATCAAGTATAATATTGGGAAATGGCATACAGATAAATGCTCTGTGAATAAAAAGCAGTGAAAAATAAAATATATATATATTTATTTGCAGTGTGATTCAAAGATTAAAACACTGTACCTTTTTGGTTTAATTTGTGTTATAAATATGTTTTATTGAAGTAAGAGACACCAAAAGTAAATAAATAAGTTATTCTTGATAATATCATATGTAATGAAGCCTGATATATATATATATATATATATATATATATATATATATATATATATATATATATATATATATTGGCCTTGGTCTAAGATATCAAGACAAATAACTCTCAGCACTGGTTGAATGTTGATAGGAGGTGACTTTGATATGTATGTGTAGATAAGAATAGAAATACTGGTCATACTCATACAGTAGGTCATGTGTACATATGGCCCGGAACATGCCACTGTAGCAGCTATTCTTTGATAACCATGATAGTTCTGACTTAGAAGGATTTTGAAACACCCAAAAATGTACACTACTATTCATACATGCTTATAATGTTTATGTGCCATAGGTGAAAGTGCTCAAATTATGACACAGACAAATGTTTATCATAGGCACTGTGGTCAACAAGTTATACTGAATACTTTGTTCAGACTTTCTGTCACCCTGATAACCAACCTTGAATTATGTGAATAGAGTTTTTGGCTCTATTTTGGAATAATGGTATTAGAATATCAAAATTATAGATAATATAGACTATTATTATTATATCTGGATGACTTTTATAGTACCCATGATGTTAGGCATTGATAACTCCCACAATGTACTGGAATATCATAATTCAAACATTTGCTATTATATGTATCACAGATAAGGGTCTTTTGCTTTTGTAGTTTAAGAATTGTGGGGGGTGCAGGGGGGGGGGTGAAATTATGAATGAGACAACTTTTGTATATTGAGGGAAGAGATTGAAAGCATAAAACTTAGACATAATAATTTTAGGAGCAAATTTCTTATATTTCACCTTTAATCTTCTATTGTAGTGTGTGATGATCATCAATTCAAAGATGAAAAGTTGTTCTACAGATTCCGAGTTGACGATGACTCATTTCCACAGAATACTGAAGCTGCTCTGTACCTAAGAGCATACAGTCTGTATAAGAGGTGAGGCACACAAGCCAAAGTGTAAAGGCATACAGTCCACGACCAGGCTAACTTTGACCAATGCCCTGTAGCAGATAAGGTGTACCCTATCTACAGGTCATTGCCCTAGACCAGACATACTGGTACAATGTACTAGTACATGTAGTGTTACAATAAGTATCTACTAGTATGTTATGATGGTGTTTCTGAAGATATAATGAGCAGATGTTGCTTGGGGTCAGTCAAAGAATTATTGCACTGAGTGAAATATTTTTAATTTGGTGGAAGATTTTTAAAGAAGTATTAAAAGGCTTGTAAGGTATACAGCACCTGCATCCACAATTGTTGTCCCTTTAACCTTTTTTATATGCATATTGCTGTTCTGCAAGTGACACGTAAAAAGTCAATATTAATTGTTTTCACCAACTTATTAATATTTATTTTTCTGTAATTTAAAATTATCATTAGAAAATAAATGTTAAGCTTCAAAATGAATCAAACGAATATATAACATTATCCAGCACTGTGTTAATTTTTATTATGACCATTATGAGAATGACTTATTTAACACCTTTACATGTTTGCACCCAGATTACTTGTAACATGGCCAGAGATAACCCAGGAGCATGTGGTCACAGACACAGGACAGGTGTACACAGATGCTTTCTATGGGTCCACCTTGGTAGACTGGCTGATACACCAGAATGAAGCCTCCACCAGAGAGGAAGCATTTTTGTTCTGCAGGGACATGGTGGAGAGTGGGATACTCAGACACAGTAAGAAAAAAGGGGGAAATGGCACTGAAAAAGATTTGTGATTCTTACTGTTTGTATATTTACAAAATAAAAGGAATGTAATTTGTGTAGTTGAGGACATGAGGATTGATCAAAATGTTTTACTCTGAGGTTTGTACCCAGTGCACTGGCCTGTTTCTTATATTTAAAATTTCCATGTACAGTACATGTATGCTTGCTAATTGATAAAGGTGCAGATATGGCAGTTTGGCAGTTTGGAAAACCTTACAAGTATCAGCACTGAAGTTGAAGGGTAAAAATGTCTTTGAAGGGTAAAAATGTCTTTGAAAAAAAAGAATTTCCCTTTAGATTTTCCTTCCTTGCTTTAGTAAATCATGAAACTGAACCTTGCCTTTTCTTTAAAATTCTGATACTTTATTGATTTTTCAGTCACTGATGACTACCACTTTAGAGATGGGCACACTTTATATAAATTCAGAGATGACTTTGGACAAAGAGGAGTTCTAACTGACTTATTGAAGAACAAAAGGTCTGCCTCAAGAGAGTCGTTTTCGTCTATTGGTAAGATATTTCTTTGATAATTACTTTAAAAGCCATTACGGCTTGTGAGAGTAACTATAATAAACTAGAGTTGGCTTTGTCAAAACGGAGTTGACACTGAAAACGTAAATAATAAATTGTTTGCCCTTTTTATTTCTACATCAAGTTGTACAGTTTTCTGCATGGCTGTGTTCAGAATAGGAGTTATTGTACAAGCAGGGTCAATACATCTTAGCAGGGATTCTCACTAAGGCGCAGTCAATATAATTAGCTTAAATTGTATTCAAATTAAATTGTCTGGCATGCCCCCTTAAAACTTAAAGTACTTGAGTAAAGTCAGAAAAGACTTTTGTCCATCATGTCGTTCTTGTTGCTTTGTGAAGGGGCATGCCACACAATTAAGCTGATAGCATATTTACTGTGCCTTAGCAAGAATAGCAGTAGAAGTGTTATAAACAGCAAAAGTGAGTAAATCTGTAAAAAAAATTTCGACCAAATTTTACCAATATTGTAGGAAGTAGCAGGAGCAACACATCCCTCACTCAGTATTTCTACTGCCCTGAAAGAAATCATAAGACATCAGAAGCATCATCAAGCTCAAATGATAGTGTTTCTTCAGATGCTGATGCCACGGAACAACCAAAGTCAGGTTAATATCATGTGCAAATTAACAGAACACTCAAAAACTTAAGAAAACTGTTCTGATATTAAAGATGAAGTAAAGAATAAAAGGAAGTTGAAAATAAAGGATTAAGAATACATTCAAACAATTTTTGCTCCCCTCCCTTTCTCTCTCTCGACAGTCATTTTGTACTTATTTGTTCAGTTCTACTGACTGGAGTCACTGTAGAGGAGTTAGAGGCTCCCAACACACCATATGTCAAAAGATGTATTAGGGTAAGTTGGTTTTATTTCTTTTTAATCCACTGAGAAAGATGGTGTCATATCCAGAAGGTTAAAATTTGGCTAGTGTCTTCAGTATATCATAAGCATATTTTTTACAATTTTTAATTTAATCATCTGCTAATGATGAGTGATCTTGAATCAAGTCTCCTAGCTGGTTACATTGTTAATATCTGCCTATATTCTAATATTCTTGTACTGTATATTCAACCTACTATATAGTTCTCAACAACATATTTTGTTTATGAGAATAAAGTCATTGTCATTGCCAAAGCACGGGTACCGTTTACAAGTTCCTTTTGGCAAATATTCATCTAGTACAGGTACAACAATGAGAAATTCAGACTCTTAAATAAAATGGTTGATTTAACTACTCCACCCTCTCTCTCTCACTACTCTGCAAAATCATTAATTAAAAGTGATTTTTGTCTTCTGTAGGTCTGCAGTGATTCTGTTGGGTATGGTTTTGTTATACGTGGTGAGAGTCCAACATACGTCCAAACTGTTGATCCAGCAAGCCCAGCTGCTGCAGCAGGAATCAAGGTATTTGGTTCATCTGGAACCTTTTTCACAATAGAACTTTATCCTGGTCACAGGTGATTGGTCTTAAGTTACATTTGTTCTGTTTTAATTCAAGATACATGTATATTTGTAGTAGTAAACTTAAGTAAAGCAAGTATTCCCTCTGAAAGACTAAACATGACAGAACAGGCACAATATTTCATTTACAGTTGGACTAAACTACCAGTTCTTCTGATACAACTGGGCCACAGTAGACAAAACTCTTTAGAGCACTTTTCAGACTTAAGAACTGAAAAAATTTTGTGTGAATGACACTGTTCCCCTTACTTAAAATGAACAGTACAGTACAAAAGTGAAATAATTTTTCCAGGTGAGGCAGTTCTTGTACTCCATAAATGGCATCAATGTACTAAGGAAGAATCACAGAGAGGTGGCCAAGATTATTCTGGGGGCAGATGGATTCCTAGATATTGAAGTTATGATGCACTTCAGGGAATCCTTACTTTAGTATCCCTCTGCTGGGAAAAAATACCCTCCAATGAAATGTATTATTTAAACAGAATGCATGTAATATGCCACAAGTGTCATACCTCTTTATTTCCAAATCTCAACATATGTGCAGTTGTTTATGAAAATACATGCACATATGAAGAAGTGAAAATGCAAAAGCTGGCTTGCTTGGGAGCTGAAATGGTAATGGAATACGCATGTTAAAGATATTTTGGAAGATCATTAGTTGATGTGATGAAAATGGTGCTGTAATTACATGTATACTATATAGTACTGTATTTCCACTGTACGTTGAATAATGGAGTTATTGGTTCAAATATTAATGTTCTCCCCTTTTTATTGACTGCATTATGCAATAACAGTTGTCATCATATTAATCTAAAATGGATTTACTCAAGGTGCTTGTAAACAGGGTTATAAATTATATTGGATAAAGTTGTGCAATAACATTTTTCAAAATGCATCTGGACTGATAGGGAGTGTGTGCTATTAAACCACTTCAGCATGTGCCCTGACAATCTTGATTAAAAATTCAAATGTTTTTTTTTTTTTTTATGATAAATGTGTAAATAGTAAAGCAGCACAGCCATGCTGTTACTTTTAAGTAAAAATGAAAAAGAAAATGAAAACCATTTAATTTCATGATATACATGAACTGGTGCTATTAATTAGTGGACAAAATTATTGTGCCAATTAGTCCTTTTAGTTACTGGTGTTTTTTTATGATTAAAAAGTTATAGTGGAATTGGATTTCATTCATCTACAATTTACAATATTTTTATATATTTTTGTAAACAAAAGTGGAAGTATCAGAATTTCAAGCAAAATAAAGTTATTAGATCTAAAAGATATGTTTGTACTATTAAAAACAATAACAATGGAGTATAAAACATTTTTTAATTACTTATATTATAAAATGTAACTGCAGGCATAGTCTGCATTCTAACAAACTGGATCAGTTGAATACCTCTGACACACTATGTATACAACTTTTTTCTAATTTCAACATAAGTTTAAACAGGTGTATGTCTTCCTTTGTTTCATATAATCATGTTGGTCCATACTTTACCCATTGAAGACCAGTTAATTTGCAGTGTAAATGGCATAACATGGCCCAAAACATTTATGTTTGAGAAAATTACAATGTCAGGTTTCCTAAGATCACAGAAGCCTTAATAAAACCAAAAAACGTGCAACACACAGTCAGACTTGTCTTTTGCCAGCTTACACCCCTCTGGTCCTTTTACTAGTGTCTTTTTTTGAATTTACTAAGAACAAAAATATTTACATTTAACTCTGCTGCAACAGTAAGCATAATTAACATTAAGACCAATTTTCAGTTATGTGAAGTGTTTTTCCTGCTCTGGTGTAATATTGTACGTGGAAGCTTCAAAATGCATGCAGACAACTATCAGGCAAATAAAACATATAAAACTGAAAGACTGTAATTATGTGTCTAACAAGGTTATTTTATGAAAACATCTATTCCTTGATATTGTTCAAGCTAGAAAAGACAAAACTGCCACCAGTATTTAATTCTTCAAAAGACTTGTCTTGCAGTTAAGTGTATGTTCAAAAAAGAGGAAAAAAGACTAAATTTATCACCAATCAAATTTACAGCATATTGTAAAAGGTATTCCATTAGATTTCTAAATCAGAAAAGGTGCAAAGTAAAAAATGCCAGCTCTCACAGAATATGCCTACAGAAGAGGAGCAGTGAATTTTCACTCTTTATTTGAACATTTAACTTTTTAATCAAATTTAACTGTCAAATAAAATGGGTTTGCAGTTTGTGCCATAAAATTTTGATTATTATAATAAAATACAGAATACAACTATTAATAGTTTGAAGTAATTTGATAACAAAATAATACTGATTTGACAAAAATCACATTTCTGTTGTAAATAATGTGAAAAATCCTATCAACAGCAAGTATGACATTAATTTCAAATGAGCATTTGGGCTAGATTTGAAAACTAAAAAATAATTTTTTGTCTAACATTTTATAGTTCAGGTACAATAATCTTTGGTATACAAGAAGTAAAAAGGAAAAGGGATGGTAAGAGAAGGAGAATATCTTCACACAACAAGTACATGTAGATTTTACAAAATGCACTAAGAAGATAAACACTAGCCATTTTTGTTATCAAACAAAGAGAGTTCATGTAGCAAGGAAGAGATTTTACACCCAAATGTCTAGTATTCAGCAAATCACTCCTATACAAATTCAGTTTTTGCTTCCTATTTTCCAATATCTTCATGACTCCTTCCTGCTATTTTGTTGTGGTTTGGATAATGAGAATACATGTATCTGAAAGTGATCAGCCATCTGCCATACCTGAAATGAAAATCACAATATTGGGGAAGCTGCTAAGCATTCTAGGTGCATGAAATAAATGTTAATACTTTCTTTACAGTAAAACAAAATTGATTCGATTAAGTGGTTTATCTTAAAATAAACAATATTCTAAGAGTCAGTTGTTAGTCAAGTTACTTTTATACAAAAGGGCACATAGTTAATAGTTCACAGAATCTTTGTTTGAGGTTGTCCCATGAGTCTGGACACATAGACAAAATGCATATTTTTAATTAAAAAAATTGAATAACAGTTCATTTAATTGAAACAAAAAATAAAATCCTCAATATGATTTGAAGAAAGTTTCAATATGCTTAGCGAGATTCACATGTAAAAAGAAAAAAAAAACCTGACAATACTAAAGCGTCCAACCTTGATGAACATATTCACATTCGAATTACTTACAACACACATGCCCATGTGTAGCCAGGCGGTTGTGACCAGGCCACTTAACCCATATAATATGAACAGTTCATACTGGGCTGTATCACAGACAACCACCACACAGGTTGCACTGATGATTGGGACTAGAAGCCAGTGGAAAACCTCACACCTTGTGTTACTCATCTGGCTTATTATCAACCGAACCTGGAAATAAAATTTTGAAAATAAAATTGAATATGAAGATGGCAGATCTAATAGCAATGAATCATTTACTTATTAGTGTTAGACTGTATGTAGTAAGGTTGTATGTAGTAAATGTAGTTTGTTTTTTTTTTTTTGGGGGGGGGGGGGAGGTGGTAAAATGAGCCTTCATTTCTTCAAACAAAGTAAAACACTTATTACAAATAACCATTTGCTCTAAACTTTATTTTGGTCTAATGTGCACAATTTTTCTTACGTGGGACTATTACAGTTCTATCTTCTAGAAGAGACTCAAAAGCTACCAACAGTAACTGTACTTAACTACAAAATTTCAAACAAATACTTCAACCATAATGAGTCACATCAGTTTAAGGAACAAGGCTACCATCAACAATGGCCTGACTTTTAGAATTGATGAGGAGCAACTTCTTTATTCTCATATTTCCATAAATAAGACGTAGGAAAAAACTTGGATGTACTGAAGGTCTGGAGAACCTTCACTTTAAGAAGTCTGCAGGGCCTCCCCATTCTGTGCAGGTCAGTAAGTCAACGTTTACATATGATTCATTTTTGTGTATTGTTTTTCCACATAAACCTTGCCTGTCCAGAGGATCTGCATTATCAAAAATCTTGCCGGCCCTCTGGTTTTTCAGGGGGTCATGATCAGTCAAACCTAAAGTTTCCCTATGTCTGCATACATGCATGCTTGTTGTGTCTATACGTAAGTGGCATTTGATTCAAGTTAACTGCACCAATAATAAATGTTAGGTGGGTTTATTACTGATATCAAAGGTCTTTATTTGGAGCTGTTAAATCTGAAAGACTGAATGTGTACTTGAGATTTACAGTTAACTTCCTGTTGACAGTCAGCGTCTGATAAACATCACATATACAGATTATAAAATCAAAAAGCTGGTTCACCAGACCAGAATTTCAGGATATACATCAACCCCCACTTACCGTAAAATATGAAAAAGAAGTCCCTACTGTCCACAGAAATATCCTAGGGTTATTATCTAGTACAGCACACTTTGAGTTCCAAATCCACACTGTGTAGCTTACAAATAGAATAGTGGTACAAACTAAGGGACGGTTGGCCTCCCATAGTGAACGCATTTTACCCGTTTGGTCCCGATAAGAACTGAAATATATATAATGAAAAATGAGTATGCAAATAACTGGGAACAAGTAAGGATAATAAATTTTTTTGATAAAATGAACTTACCTTGACTCAATGCTAGAATTTTTATACAAACATCATACTTAGTAACAAGAAGCTTTAAATTATTTCTATAATATATAGACAACTTACCGGTATATGTTATACAGCGATATGGGGAGGGACATGCCAGAGCCAACTGAACAAAAAAATACATTTAATTAATATTATAACAAAAATAGCTGGCTTGTCAAATTACCTATCTAATAATAAGTTGCAAGGGTAATCTTGTTGCCAATCTCTGAATTTTAAAATTTCCAATAACTAAACTCGTATAATTTCAGATAATGTCAATTCATACCTAGAATTTTTGGGAAATCACAAACTTTTAGATAAACATTTTACTGCAATTAGAATATTCACTATTAGTATTTTTTATATGTACCAAGAAGAGTTAAAGCCTTAGGTGTCTTTTGATATACAGAAGTTAGAATTGGAGAGAAATCACAAACTTAAGATAATCATTTTACTGTAATTAGAATTATCAGTATTAGTATTCTTTTATGAATATATACCAAGAATAGTTATAGACTTACATTTTTTTTTATATGCAGAAGTTAGTAAAGATGTTAAAGGTAAGGGTTAACCTACCATACAGACTGATTTCTGCAAGGTCTCCAGAGTCTAAAGTTTTATTCAAAAATGGAATGGTGATAGCAAATTTCCAGAATAAATAAGTCCTGAAGTAAGTGATGGTCATGGCCAAAATTATACTCTGAAAAAGAGAATATTAAACACTTATATTATACCTTTCAGATTCATTTCTCGAAAAATTTTGAATATCAACTGAAGTATGTTAAAATACAATAAAGTGAAAGGCAATTTTTTAGTTGAGGTACTCATAACGGCTTATTCTTTTTTAACGAAAGACAACTACCTGTGTCTTATCACATGCTACAATACAAGTTTTATCTCAAGTGCTTTACAGTGATGTCTAATTGAACAATAATATGCTTAAATCTTACTTACCAGCTGTCCTATATCATATCCCCAGGGAAGATACAAAACTCCAGTATTATATTTCTCCCAATGGGAAAAGATGAAACATGCCATCACACACCAAATAGCAAAATACACTCTGATTGGAGAGATTCCAAACTCCCCTTGCCCAAATATGGAGTATAAGACCACAGGTGTGACATGGGTGATGGAGCTGTCCAGGCCATGGTCAAACAGCTCTCCCAGTGGAGTACTAGAACCTGTTCTCCTGGCTTGTTTGCCATCACAACCATCTGAAAAACAGAGGCAACATAATAATCAGAAAGAGCTCTGAATATTAGAATGACAACTAAAGGCAAGACCACACTTTTACCTACTTGTATTAGGTACTTGTATTAGGTATTAAAAATATCGAAAAGATCGCATCATCGAAAAGATCTAAGAATCACTGTACATACTGATAGTGTTCTTATCATAAAGCTATGCTTAAGCACTAATTTACACTTGTAAATTTTATGTTCAGATGTACTTTAGTATTTTGACACAGAAATAATTCTTTTTAAGCTGATATCCTTAGGTCTTATGCTGTTGTTAGGAGACAGTCATGCCTTACTCTAAATGCATGTTAAAATAAAATATGTATATCTTAGACAATCCACAACCAGTCAGTGGAGAATGTGGGCCACCATACCTAATGCATTCAACAGGGTAATAAATATAGCTCAGGCTATCCACACCCTGAAGGCAAGTGGGAAGCCAGTCTTACCTAGTGTGTATGACAGGAAGATACACATAGCACAAAACAACCACACCCAGTCAGGCACTGGGGGATTATCAGGGTGATCCCTGCTGGAAGCATAAAAATGTGGGTCGTAATATGCCATTACTGCCACATTCAGTAGGAAGAAGAGATAACCAAGTAATGTCATCAAATTTGGAGCCAGCCATCTTGGTATGAGATGCTGAAAAAGACAAGTAAAAAAAATAGCAATAGTCATCATTTTCAAAGTTGCATATGGACGTTATTAAAAAAATATATTATGTGTAATAAGGGGGACAAAAAAATGCATCACCTTAGCCTGATAAAATGCAAACAATATGCATATGTTATAGAAGTTTCCAACTTACATCAACAGCTGTGTAACAATAAGTTCACTGTTATTCTCACATTTACATCTCTAACTGAACCTTACCTTTACAACCCAATTCCAAAATGGGTGACTGAGGTAATTACTAATAGGATTAGTGTCAACTGCATTGTACTGAAAATATATACAAGATCATTAGTTTCTTGCCCTACATGAATTAGTAGTTTCTTGTCCTACATGCAAAAATTATAAATAAAATTAAAATGCTCAAATAACCTCAATGGAATTTTAGATGGAAACAGAATATATATATATATATATATTTAATAAACACTTGATTTTACTTGTCTAACAAATCAACAAAACATTTTTATGGAAATCAATTTGTCAAAATAAGTGCATTTTTAAATGTTAAAACAGTGAGTGGACAATATAAAAGTAAATCAAGTAGTAATTTCAGCCCATTTCCCAGGTGAGATAAGAAGGTACTGATTTAGCACAAGGGACAAGCAGGTGAGAACATAACATTATCTGCAACACTACCGATAAGCTGTATAGAAATGCTGCAACAACTCCAGCTGTAAAGTCACAGAGTTCATGTGTAGATATCAGCAATCTTCCTCCTATCTGTATCCTAAACCACTAGCTAATTCAACTTACATGTATTTCAACATCAGATGAACAACACACTGCTTTCAGTTAAAGCCCTTGGATCACTTTTTTTCCTTTCAATTTCTCAGTCCAACCTACTTTTATTTTCATTTTATTATTATTAATAAAATGAAAATAATAATATAATTTCATTATTGGCTACATCTTTACATATAGATAACTATTTTTGGACAATTTTAATAGGGATGTCCTATGAACCATAAGTGGCCTATACATATAACATTACAAAGAAAGCAATAACACTTCAAAGAGAGTCTCATGTTTCCCCAATGGAATTTATATATACAAAGGAGATTTTTCAAATTCACAGGTGATGGTGCCACATGGGTAAACTGCCCGCTGTTTAGCCTACACAATAAAAAACTGATGTCAAAGCCCCTTCTCACTATTAGCTACCTGATCACAGGACAAAATATAGCCTGATATGTCACTGCATCTTTACATACAATACACTGTTACCATCCCTCTAAATGGAGGAATATAATATTGTCAGGCAAGTATTATCAGGTTTGGCTTTTAAAGGCAGATATGGTATGAGCTTTTGTACTATACACTGTTAGCAGCCTCAAATCAAAATGAGTACTATGCAATTATGGTATATAATAGGTTGTATCAAATGAGTCAAATGACTTAATTTTTTTCAATGCTTCATCATGCAGGTACACATTGTATGAGGCAAATGGCTCGTAATATTAAGGAGGTATTGAAAGTATGAGTATGTACATGTAGGTAAGTAATGTTACAGTATTCAAGAAGAAAGGATACTGGGAATGGAGGTTTTCCATTTCTAGTAAGGAGAAATATGGACATAAAAAGAAGAATGTTGTTAAAATACTCCAAGTCCTTGTGAAACTAGTAACTGTTTCTAGGGTGGGTCAAACATTATATTATTTACTGCTTCTATACTCTTAAAAACTCTACCACTTTTAAGGTCATTCTGTCATATGTAAAACTTAAAAGATAAATCAACTCAGTGTCAGATCCAAAAAGCAAGAAAACTGCTACTGAAAATAGAAAATAGACAAAAAGAACACACTGACTCAAGAGACATGCATATGAGCATATGAAATGCCATAGGCTTCATCATGGAACTGACATTGGGCAAACCCATACTGTCACAAGCATAGCAAGGCTGGCTCAGCCTGTATACCATTGTCTACAAGCTCAGTAAAACACTTAACAATCTCTTGGTATTGAATGATTGGTGGAATCTGACACTTGAGTTTTTCGTGCAGAAATCTGTGAATGGTTTTAAAAAAGTTGAAGTGGGCACCCTGTTATGTGTAGCTAAGAAAAGCATAGCTGTTATTTTAAAAAACAACCAATAAGCTCTATTTATAGATGTTTATCAAATTTGATTAATTGGTTAAGGGGACTCAAACACCCCACTCTTTTAGACGGAAAATGTCTAAAATGTCTGCTCTAGACAAAATTGATCTAGGAACGGTTTCACAGTGAAAGGCCATTTTTTTCAGAAAAAGAGACCCCTCCCTTTCTTTGAAATTGTTGGCTAAGGGCCTGCTTTACTTGTATGTAGTCTTTGGATTCATTAAACTTTTTCTTTGTCAGAACAGTTTCCGATTGGAATGGACTCAGTGACCAACAAGTAAACGTTGAAACTGTTGAAAGCTTTAGATCAGGACTACTATTTGACTAAGTTTCCCATGCGCTCTATTCTATCCGTCTACTTTATACCAGTATTGGTGTCTCTAGACGTACATGAACAGATACAGATACAGAACTGATCAAAACAGCAGCCATGCCTGATTTCTTCATTCATAAATGGGCTTGATCATGATAACAATTAGAGAAGCCACTTAAATGAAAGCAAATCTAATGTCCAGTGGGCAACCAAATTAAAGACTGCAGTAAATTATAGCCTGTGATAGTGAATTATAGACAAGATTGATCCAAATATACTTTTATATACTTATCACAACTGAGCTGCAGTGTAGCTTGTTTGCTTACAATCGATACCCTTATCAACAAACCTAGGGTTTGGTAAACAGTTCCACAGCTATATCCAACAGACAAAAACCCACCACGCGATCGCGGCGGCATTCCAACGGCAACAGCGGCGGCAGGATACTGACTGTCCCAAGTCAAATTTCATCAATGATTTTGGATCCAGAATAGCGATCTAAGCAGTCATAAGACTACGATATACTAAATTTCGTAATTTACTCACTTTATATCTGTCAAACCCAGCAATGATTTCATCCGAGAGGTAATTCTGCCAGAACATCTTCAATGCTTCCACTACAATGCTGCCCTCTGGTGTAGATGGGCGTGACTAGAAAGGAGAATAACTTGTTGTCGATAACGCTAAGAAAACAAGCGAAGGCAAGGGAGTTGTACTTACTTCTCACCGAAGAGATGGCCCGCAACATAATGTGGTTGCCCACGGATCATTCTGCTTTAGTTCACTGATAGATGATGGTGTTATTTTCATCGGCGTTGCAACTAAATCGCTAATGGGAAAAGGGGTATAATCGCAGCGATTCTGCATTGACAAAAAAACGACGATCTGCAAAAAGTTGGGACTGGCAAATAAAACCACTGATCGGTTACTCATAACAGAAAAAAAGTTCAGTCAAGATGAATAAATAGGTAAGTCAGTGGAGGTGGTGCAGCAGGGTAAGATTTGGTAGCTTAATTAACCACAAAACTACCAGCAGTACTATCGTCGGCAGACTGCATGGTACTTATACTTACTATTCACATTTATTTTAGCTGTACAGTCCAGGTACAAGGCTGTGCGGAATCTGTTCTATAGCTCTATATGACGGTTATGTATTCATTGGTTTATTTATAGCTGCCCTTCGGGAGCCCTTGCACAGAGTCAGCTACTGCGCAGTAATCACTCTATATAAAAGAAAGCTCCCTTCAGATAAACAAAGCAAGGTACAAAGCAAAAGGTTGATGCAAATTACTGCAGTGCCATGCATAAACTATATACAATTCTGTTTACAATTTTGGGTGTACAGAATCATATGGAGATATATGATCTTCATTGTATTTTATGAGAAGACATACCCAGTAGGAAGTTGCAAGCTGTTTCTTGCATAGAATTTAATTAGAAACAGAAGCATAGCTTTGAAAGAGACACATTTGATGTGTACTGTTATCCGAGAAAGACACATCATACAGGTTAGTGAGAAACAGTTAATGTGCATCAGTGTCTTAACATGTTACCTGATGTTTGATTGTAAAGGCCGATTCTCCCTAATTAGATTGCTTTACATGTACTTATGATAAACACATTTGACTTGGTTGTATCTTAATACAGTTCCTGCGGTGTGTCAAATGTTCCACACCTTCTAAAAACACCTGTATCAGAATGCGGCCTTACTGTAAAGCTCATCTAAAACATCTGTCTAGGAAAATGTTGTAATGTTTGATTGAGGTGTTAAAAAGAATTTGCTAACAAAAAGTAGAAACAGTCATTGTAGTTACTAGTATGTTCATCAGTGTATTTTTCACGCAATGAAAATTGAATAAAGTTGATGATCAACTTGTATGATAACTGTTTTTGTGGTCCTGAAACTTTGATCCAAAATTTGCCATAACCACTGAAACAACCTCAAAAATATTTTCTGAAATATGGATTGTTTATATGGTAAAAAATCAATACAAGAAATCACCCAAGAGCAATATGATTCAAATAATAACTTGGGGAAAGTTTTTATAACCTATCTTGTATACCTGAGTGTGTGGAGTTTTGTACAGAAGGCAAGCAGTGTGCCTATTAGATAACTGAATCAATGCCAGCAGAACAGTTCTGTGTCCAGGTATAAAGTTCAAGATAACATTGCTCACACTTCTAGAATGATAGTTGCACATATGTTTATGAATAACAGTGTGCATGAAATTGTTTGTGACTTGAAGTTATTTCCAAAGGGAAGAAAATATGGACATCACAATTTGTAGTGATAACGCAAAGTGTTCAACAAATTACTGTTGATATTTATTTGAGTTGTTTCTACAAAATAAGAAAGAAAGGGAAGTCACTTTTACCATTGATATAAAAGACACATGTTAATGTTTTAATGGATAACTGTTAAGTTTTTTTACTTGTTTCCACAGAAACCATACCATTAAAATTGATCTGGACACTTTTTTTAAAAAAAATCATAATTCTCATTATAACATACTGAGCATGTAACAGTTTCAACAGCTCTTTATTTCATGTTGATATTCTCAGGTGAAGAATACGAGAAGATGTGCTGGTCAGAGCTACCAGATGTCCTACTGGAGGAGGTATACTCCAAACTGACATACAAACAGCGCTACTATTGCTCCATGGTCTGTCGCCATTGGTATGACCTCTTTTATTCATCTAAAGTATGGGAGCATTTTGTACTGGGAGAGAGAACCCTCACAAGAAGACGCATGCGCCCATATCGCAATTCCTACATGTACACCCTCAGCCAGTACAAAGCCAAGATGTGTTTGGATAGAGTTGGGGAATTTTTCAAAAAGATAACTATCAAACCCATATCAGACTATTACAATTTGTATGCCTTCATGACAGTGTTGTCAGCATTTTTGGAGTTCTATGAGGAGTATCCTATGCCACTTCTCCATGGCTTTCATTTTAACTTCGGTTGTGAAAACCGCGGTTTCTCAGGCATAACTGTGCACGGAACTGGAGGGAAGATTCTAGAAGAGTTGAAAAGGTTGCTGGGTAACATGAAAAATCTGGAAGAATTGACCCTGAATCAATTACTACTAGACAAAAAAGAGGCGCCAGGGCTCTTAGAAAGCGTTCTTGAAAACTGTGCAGAGACTCTGAAGGTTCTGGAAATAGTGAATTGCACCAAAGGATCATACCCAATGTTTTATGCAGGGATGTTCATGTCTTTACAGAAGCTCATCATCAGTCCACAGCACCTGAGTAGTGATGTGATAGCCATGCTGGCCAGCACTTCTCTGACAGACATTCATATTGTACAAGACCGGCATACAGATGGTGTGGCCCCCATAAACAGCCAGACTTGGTTTGAGGTCAAGCAGATGTCTCCTCGCCTGCAGGTGCGACTTGAGGCACGTGGTGGGACGCGTGAGGAAATCCTTTTCCAACCTCGCGCACCCGTGACCTCCATCGTCTATGATTCACCATATCTGAAAATGACCCCAGATGCAGTCATGATGATCACAGACCATTACCGAAAAACATTGAGGTTATACGCCCAGAAGGGGCTGCCCAGAACTCATGGCTCCAGATCCTTCCACGAACGCTGCGATGGCCTTGTGCTGATGCTGGTCAGACAGTGCCCTGAACTGAGGGTGCTCATAATTCGGGAGAGGATCTCATCCATGACGCTGCTCCTGGTGGCTTCACAGGCAAAGAAGTTGCAAAAGCTCTATGTCCGGCAGAATGCAGTTCTCAAGAAAACTGATTGGCCGAAAACTCTTGAATGGTCTGATGAGTATTATGCCGATTTGAAAAAGAAATCTCAGTCATATGAACTGTTGCAGAAGGAAATTTCCAGGTGCATGGGATATCCTTGGAAACTTCTTACTGATAAGGAGTTTGAAAAGTTGAAGATTTAAGACAGCAGCATTTGTTGAAATTTGCCTCAAGAGGATTGTTGAATGCAATGGATACATAGTCATGTTATTGCGCACACATTTAAAATGAAACACTTGTCATTTGTCTTTCCTGCTCACAGTTTCTCAAAATACAGTTCTATGCCAATTTTGCAGTATGTCCAGTGGCAAGAGAAAGTTTGATGATATATAGGTCACTTTGTGAGATATACTTGATTTTACTTGGAAAGTATTCTCATCAGTTTCGTGATTTATGATTTACCACAATTATACAAGTTTTTGTATTTGTTTTTTATGTTTTTATATGAGCACCCAATTTTTTATATCTAAAATATTCAAAACCTGTGCCATAATGTGTTCAATCTCTTTGGGCCATTGGAGTATTTTTGTCTGAATATTATTATCTGTATTACTATATTTACTTTCATTGACCACAAGTTACTAGAATAATTGGGACAAAGCAGTGAGCACCCAACCCCCCCCCCCCTCTGCCCCAATCCATGCTGATAAGTTGGTCAACATTAGATATATTAAAATGTACATAGCTCTCAAATTCTGAATTGTTTTACTTATTATGACTATTATATAAGTGCACAGCATACCTGTAGCTTACTGTCATGACACTTTTGATAATTGTTTCTTTCTCGCTTTTTGATCTCTGAGGTCTTCCATATAGTAATGTTTCTTCTTTCGTTTTGGGAATAAAATTGTAATGTTGGGAGTTGCAGAGGATCTTGTTATAACACGTTATCATGTTTTGTTTCCATGCGCCAGGAGTTTCATTAGTGCTGAAAGTGTTAGATAACCAGAGAGGCCTGCTTCACAAACCTTTAGTTCTTTGACTAAGTTTAAACTGCCCAAATCGGAAAGCCAATTTGTACCCAAAATAAGAAAAGAATTTATTCAGTCATTAAAGTAATTAAAGATTCACATGTAACAAATATTGTCCACATTGCAATATTGGTCAAAGAACCTAAAAATTATTGGCCAACAACCCATGTACCTGACTTGTACAAATAGACTACTTTCACCTCTGAGAGTTGAAGGCTTCCTCAAGACAATTTCAACATGCTAAAGGGGCTAATAAAATAAATGAAATAAAAACAGGCGTCAGATTCTTTGTGAAACGCAACGTAGTAGGCTCTTATTTAAGTCCAAAATCTGACATTGGACCACATAAAAACGAGGACTGTTGCCGACCGCTGCCATTTGTCAAGTATATGTTTAAACAATATTACGCAAGCACGACAGTACGAGTAAGTAATAACACGGAAGTGACATCCTTTCACGATGTTCTCTCTCCCTCTCTCTAACAATTTTAATAGTGAACGGGCTTTTATGATATATATGCACCAAAGCAATGGAATAATTTTGACTGATAGTTTTCTTCAGTCTTTCAAACAATCAACCCTACGAAAGTACGTACATGTAGATTAAGAAAATTCTGAGCGTTTGTCGGAAGGCCCATGTCGTCTACATAACAATTTTCTATACATTTAAAATTCAAAAGTCAACCTAACTACAGTATAGAATCACTTGTGTCAATAAAATTGATGTGTGCATTTACGTATTGAGGTGACGTCATTTCCACATAAGGCGCAAAACCATCGGTTTCATTAGATGCGGCACCCGACTGGAAATCCACCGCCTCCACAGACAAAGACGTGTAAGGTGCATGCCTGTCTAAGGCGGCTGTCTCTGGTGTGGGTTCCGATACCGTGAAGTGATTATCCTGTGCAGCAGGAGTGCGCTTTCTACGGTTTCTGACGTAGACGGCAGCCCCAGCTAGTATGCCCCACACCACTACTGACACCGAGGCACTGACGACTGGGATGACAGGTACCTGATACATGTATTCTAAAATGAATGAAAATCATTAAAATTTATCAATTTTAAACAGAAACTGTAGATATACTTTATACATTTGAATATCGTATCGTTCACAAAAATGAAAATACGATTTCACATACATATTTCAAAATCTTTGTAATCTGCATTAAATAGGGGATTTATTCATCTGATAACGATATGGCATTTAATTAGAAATAAATATGTAAACCACCTTTTGGGCGAATGCAAGGAATCTTTTCATTTTGCAAGATCGAGTTCGGTAGGCCTTATCCAAAATACAAGGGGGTTGAACTTTCAAGACGGATGTTCGTTGATATCCATGGCATTTAGTCTCTTTCTCATATGCAGACTTAAAATAATATGTGAATCGAGAAACTACATATCTTGGCTTTCTTCGTCCCAAATGTCACCATGAAATATAGTACAGATGCTGAGCTTACTTATGCCCCGATTCGGTCGATTTTAAGAAGTGTGTATCGAAAGGTTCACCAAATCGGTGCATCATCAGTGAGACAATGGTAAGATATGTAGTTACTCTGTGAAGAGCGTTCAAAAAGCGACAAAATACCAGAATTATCAACGAACATAACGTGTCTCCTTCTTTGGGGCAACGTTGGGAGTTCATCCACCTTTGAACTACAGTACGTGAGTGGGGTAAGTCAAACTTGCCTTCAGTACACACTGTCATGTCAGCTGAAGGATGGTAACCCTCGATACATTCACAACCATTCTCCGTACACGTGCTATGCTGTACTGCCTCTCTGCAGTCAGCGGCCCTGTAACATGTAATGCTCCCTATTTTCAGTTTAACACAGTATTCTTCTTGTACAGAATGGAAACCAAGTGGACAGTCACAAACTTTTAGATACGGATGACATTCAAAGCTTAGCGTCGAGCCAGCCGTACAGTGGCCGTCGTCTGAGCACCGTTTCCTTGTGTTAGTTCTGCATACTGTGTCATTGGTGGTATCAGCATTTCCCACTTCACAAGTGGGGCAATCCTCGGTGACGTTGCAGGGGTCACCACGAATGGCTAGCAAAGACAAAATATCAGCAATTAAAATGTAGATTAAATAAGGCTGTATGTGAATGTAAATGTGGCGTTTAAATCCCATTGGTTGGTGCGAAATATTCCAAGAAAACGGGGCTGCCGGTGTGACGGGAATAAGAGTCCGATGTGACTGAAAGTCCGGACCCTCAGTTTCAGCTCCGGACCCCTGGTTTCTGAAACTGAGGGCCCACATCGAAAAAGAGGGTCTCTGCGATCGATTGTGAAACATAGAGTTCGGGCAAAATATAAAGTCCCCCGGACGTTATATCATATCCGGATTCTACGTTTTGTTACAGCTATGACGGGACTCAGAGTCCGCTGTCCGGGTTGCATTTCAATATTAATAGAACACACACACATATCTTAATACAAAGATGGCAAGGTTATTATGCATTAGACTTTATTTAGTTAGAAAATTCCAAGGTTTGGCACAGCGACTTCATGCCCTCGTGGTACATAGGCCATACCGCATGTTGTGTTGCCACAATTTATCGTCACGAAATGCAAATAATTCATTTTTGACTTTAGCAAAAATAATCGTCTCGCCAATATTAAATATTTCGGTGATTTACGTTAGTGGCAATTGACACTTACGTTTTCTGCATGCACTCTCAGCAGAGATATATTTGTATCCTTGCTTGCAGCTGCACGTTCCGTCACTGCACACACTGTCCACCACAGCTGCTTGACAGTCATTATTGGTTGAACACGGTGAGCCGACGGCACGTTTAGTACAGCTCGCTAGGTCTGCGGATACCATATAACCTGCCTTGCACACACAACTGGAATCCGAACATTCACTGTGAGGAATGGGGTCGGTACACATCGTCGTACTTCGCGGCGTTTCGCAAATGTCGTTAATTTTAGCACGTTTGCATTGTGTGGAGTTGAACTCCCTGTAACTATCGCTACAGAAGCATCGCTTCATCCCGTCTGTGTCCAATTTGCACTCAGAGCTACCTGCTGGCAAAATTGCTGAACACTCTCCTGTACTTTGACATGGGTCATTCAGTGTACCTAAAATAGTGTCCGATCATGACAATTATATAAGCGCGATTTAGACTCATGAAATCGAAAATGAAATTTTTGGCTTTTTATTTGTTTATTTTGGAAACCGACTTGGAACCCGACACATGAATGCCGGTGTGACAGTAATGATAGTTTGCTATGAACCATAGTTCGTTCTCTGTTACTTTGTACAGGTGACATTCGTCGCATATACGGTACTTACCCCAGTGCAAAATTACATACGACAGAATAAACATCTTTACACGTTTGCGATACTCTTATTAACCCAAACCTGTGCTAATCATATGAGATCCCTGACTTCCACTCCTAAGACTACCATTCCTCTAACACCGATATAAGCAGGCTAATTAAAATTGTTAAGTAGCCAAGGAAAAAACATCAAATCTAATAGCCTATCTCTATGGTATTAACCATATATACACTTTGGTGGCGCCTTTTAGTGGTACACTTACGTGCCAAGNCCCCCCCCCCCCCCCCCGCCCCAATCCGTGCTGATAAGTTGGTCAACATTAGATATATAAAAATGTACATAGCTCTCAAATTCTGAATTGTTTTACTTATTGTGACTATTATATAAGTGCACAGCATACCTGTAGCTTACTGTCATGACACTTTTGATAATTGTTTCTTTCTAGCTTTTTGATCTCTGAGGTCTTCCATATAGTAATGTTTCTTCTTTCGTTATGGGAATAAAATTGTAATGTTGGGAGTTGCAGAGGATCTTGTTATAACACGTTATCATGTTTTGTTTCCATGCTCCAGGAGTTTCATTAGTGCTGAAAGTGTTTGATATAACCAGAGAGGCCTGCTTCACAAACCTTTAGTTCTTTGACTAAGTTTAAACTGCCCAAATCGGCAAGCCAATTTGTACACAAAATAAGATAAGAATTTATTCAGTCATTAAAGTAATTAAAAATTCACATGTAACAAATATTGTCTACATTGCAATATTAGTCAAAGAACCTAAAAATTATTGGCCAACAACCCATGTACCTAACATGTACGTATAGACTACTTTCACCTCTGAGAGTTGAAGGCTTCTTCAAGACAATTCCATTTTGCTTAAAGGGGCTAATAAAATAAATAAATAAAAACAGGCGTCAGATTCTTTGTGAAACGCAACGTAGTGGGCTCTTAATTTAAGTCCAAAATCCGACATTGGACAATATGAAATCGAGGACTGTTTCCGCTGCCATTTGCCCAGCATATATGTTAAAACTATAATATCATGCAAGCACGGCAGTAAGTAATAACACAGAAGTGACATCCTTTCACGATGTACTCTCTCCCTCTCTCTTTTTAGTTTATAGTTTTATAGTGAACGGGCTTTTATGATATATATGCACCAAAGTTATGGAATAATTTTGGCTGATAGTTTTCTTCAGTCAATCAACTCTACGAAAGTACGTACATGTAGATCAAGAAAATTCTGAGCGTTTGTCGGAAGGCCCATGTCGTCTACATTACATTTTTCTATAGGCCTACACTTAAAATTGAAAAGTCAACCTAACTACCGTAAAGCATCACTTGTGTTAATAAAATTGATGTGTGCATTTACGTATTGTGGTGACGTCATTTCCACGTAAGGCGCAAAACCATCGGTTTCATTAGATTCGGCACCCGATTGGAATGCCACCGCCTCCACAGACAAAGACGTGTAAGGTGCATGCCTTTCTAAGGCGGCTGTCTCTGGTGTGGGTTCCGATACCGTGAAGTGATTATCCTGTGCAGCAGGAGTGCGCTTTCTACGGTTTCTGACGTAGGCAACAGCCCCAGCTACTACTATGCCACACACCACTACTGCCACCGAAGCAGTGACGACTGGGATGACAGGTACCTGATGTTCTAAAATGAAAGAAAATCATTAAAATTTTTCAATTTTAAACAGAAACTGTAGATGTCCTTTATACATTTGAATATTGTATCGTTCACAAAAATAAAAACACGATTTCACATACATATTTCAAAAACTTTGTAATCTGCATAATTTTTGGGATTTATTCATCTGATAACGATATGGCATTTTTTAAATTACAAATAAATATTTTAAATACAAATAAATACATTTTGGGCGAATGCAAGGAATCCTTTCATTTTGCTATATCGAGTTCGGTAATCCAAAATACAAGGGGTTTGGACTCCCAAGACGGATGTACGTTGATATCTGTGGCATTTAGTCTCTTTCTCATATGCAGACTTAAAATAATATGTGAACCGAGAAACTGCAGATCTTGGCTTTCTTCGTCCCAAATGTGCCCATGAAATATAGTGCAATTACTGAGCTTCCTTATGCCCAGATTCGGCCGATTTTATAAGTGTGTATCGAAAGGCTCACCAAAACGGTGCATCAGTGAGACGATGGTTCGAGGCCGTAGCAATAGTCCGAAGGTTCAATAGTTCGTATGTTTACTATAGAACCTTCGGACCAATGAACCCTTAATTAAAAAATCGATGAAAATGTTATTACCTATCGGACCAAAGAACCTTCGGACTATCGAGAAGCCCCCAATGGTTCAATCCCCTTTGAACTACGGTACGTGAGTGGGACATGCAAAACTCACCTTCAGTACACTCTGTCATGTCCGCTGAAGGCTGGTAACCCTCGATACATTCACAACCATTCTCCGTACACGTGCTATGTTGTACTGCCTCTCTGCAGTCAGCCTCCCTGTAACATGTTTTGCTCCCTATTTTCCGTTTAACACAGTATTCTTCTTGTACAGAATGGAAACCAAGTGGACAATCACAAACTTTTAGATACGGATGGCATTCAAAGCTTAGCGTCGAGCCAGCCCTACAGTGGCCCTGGTCTGAGCACCGTTTGTTTGTGGTAGTTCTGCATACTGTGTCATTGGCGGAATCAGCATTTCCCACTTCACAAGTCGAGCAATCCTCGGTCACGTTGCAAGAGGCACCACGGACGACTACCAAAGAGAAAATGTCAGCAATTAGATTAAATGAGGCTGCATGTGAAAGTGAGTGTGGCGTTTGAATACTATTGATTGGCGCGAAACATTCCAAGAAACGGGGCTGGCTGCCAGCAGTCCAAATTGTGCGAAACTTACTGAACAATTTCTTTCATTTGACGTGGTTCACTCGGTGTGCCAAGAATAGTGTATAAAATATAAACCACATCAAATCTAGTAGCCTATATCTATGATATCTACTTGATATACGTGTACACTTTTTATTGACGTCTTCTAAGGGCGGACTTACATGCCAAGCAAGAAGTGTTGACTGCATCTGGTTTGTAGCCAATGGAACACACGCATCTCCCCTGAACACATCTGCTGTTGTTCACCACTGCAATGCAGTCGGTGGTCAAAATGCAAGTATCGCCTATCTTACCTGTAATAATTATAATGATAATGATAAACACAAGTCTTCGACAAGTTAGTGGGTGTTTGACTTATCCTGTGCTGATAAAATAACTAACCATGAATGACTTGTATGATAATCATGTTCTTGTATAAAAGTTTAGATTGCTAGGTATAAAACAGATCAGGAAAGAAAATTGCTCCTAAATGGACTCCTCCACTCTCCTTGACTTTGACATGGGACACTCAGTGTGCCTATAACAGTGTCCAAAACATGCCAAAACCAGTAGCCCATTCTTCATATTTCAGGGCCGTAGCCTCCGGGGGGGCAGGGGGGGCAGCTGCCCCCCCCTGGAATTTAGAATTTTCCACACTGGTAGGGGGACACCCCCTCGTGTCCGCTTACTGCCCCCCCTGGCATTTTGCTCAAGCTACGGCCCTGTATTTACTAGATATTCATGTACGTCTTATAAGGGTGCACTTACGCGCCAAGCAAGAGGTCCTGTCTGCTTCTAGTTTGTAGCCAACCGAGCACGCACATCTCCCGTGTTCACATTTGCTGCTGCTCACAACAGTATTGCAGTCGGCGCTCACACTGCAAGCATCGCGTATTTTACCTGAAATAAAAAGTGTAGGCAAGTGAAGGCCCGTAGCCAGGGGGTGGGGGGGGGGGAGGGGGGTCGAAAGAAAAAGCTCCATTCTGCATGAGTACAATTTGATCTAGGTACACAAAGGTTCCATAGTTAAAAGTCCACTTTTCAGAAAAAGAACCACTCTTTTGAAATTGCTGGCTACGGGCCTGAAGTGAGTGGGCGTTTGACTAATCCTTTGCTTTCAGAAAAAAATTACTATGTGTGATTTGTACATGTTCTTGTATAAAAGTTTCAAACTGCTGGGTAAACAGATCAGGAAAGAGACCATTGCCAAATAAAAAGTTGCAATTTCGTGCAAAAGACGAGCATGGTATTACATACTGAAAAAAAAAAAAACGAAAAAGATCCTTAATAAGTTTATTCATATATAGGCCATACCGTATGTTGTGTTGCAACGATTTATCGTCACGAAATTGCAAATAATTCATTCGCCAATTAAATGTTTCGGTGATTTACGTTAGAGGCAATTGACACTTACGTTTTCTGCATGCACTCTCAGCAGAGATATATTTGTATCCTTGCTTGCAGCTGCATGTTCCGTCACTGCACAGACTGTCCACCACAGCTGCTTGACAGTCATTATTGGTTGAACACGGTGAGCCGACGGCACGCTTAGTACAGCTCGCTAGGTCTGCGGATGCCATATAACCTGCCTTGCACACACAACTGGAAGCCGAACATTCACTGAAAGGAATGGGGTCGGTACACATCGTCGCACTTCGCGGCGTTTCGCAGATGTCGTTGATTTTAGCACGTCTGCACTGTGTGGAGTTGAACTCCCTGTGACTATCGCTACAGAAGCATCGCTTTATCCCGTCTGTGTCCAATTTGCACTCAGAGCTACTTGCTGGCAAAATTGCTGAACACTCTCCTGTACTTTGACATGGGTCATTCAGTGGACCTAAAATAGTGTCCGATCATGACAATTACATAAGCTCGATTTAGACTCATGAAATCGAAAATAATTTTTTTTTTTTGGCTTTTTATTTGTTTATTTTGGAACCCGACAAACGAATGCCGGTGTGACAGGAATGTTAGTCTGCTTTGAACCATAGTTCGTTCTCTGTGACTTTGTACAGGTGACATGCGTCGCATATACTTACCCCAGTACAAAATTACATATGACAGAATAAACATCTTTACACGTTTGCGATAATCTTTTTAACCCAACCTGTTCTAATCATATGAGACCCCGGACTACCAATCCTTGGACTACCATTCCTCTCACACCGGTATAAGCAGGCTAATTAAAATTATTAAGTAGCCAAGGAAAAAACATCAAATCTAGTAGCCTATCTCTATGGTATTAACCAGATATACACTTTGGTGGCGCTTTTTAGTGGTACACGTACGTGCCAAGCAGGAAGTACTATCTGTACTGGGGCGGTACCCTATGGCACATGTACAGCGCCTGGTAGACGTGGAACAAGTCGTTCCGGTAACCGCAGTGCTACAATCGCCGTCAGTTGAACAACTGTCACCTACAACTCTCTTTCGACATTGTGACTGCCCACTGGTCGCTATGTATCCAAGGTTACATTGACAGGTATTTCCGGTCCCACAGGTCACGTGATCCATCACCACGTCACATTGGTCAGTTGACGTACATGCGTCTCCAACTGTAAGCTGTACGCAAGCCGTGTTGTCAGGTCCTGGTTTGTAGCCAACAGAACACACACATCTCCCCTCTACGCATCTGCTGTAGCCCACAACAGTATTGCAGTCGGTGCTCAAAATGCATGTATCGCCTATTTTACCTGTAATACCGAGACAATAGTGATTGTGTGCTCGACTTATCGTGTGCTTAAATAGAAGAACTCATTTGATGGCTTTGTACAACTAGAAAAGCACTCGGAGAGCGCAGACTCCACCATGGCAGCAAAGTCTCCACCCACTGCCGTTTCACCCCTTAATTTTTGATTATTGATTATTGATTGATTATTGATGCAGATCACCACCAAAAAAACTAATCATCTTTTCCTTGGCCCACTTCTGACAGTTCCTGAAAATTTCATCAAAATCGGTCCATAACTTTTTGAGTTATGTTGATGACAGACAAACAAACAAACAAACAGACAAACAGGGGTGAAAGCATAACCTCCTTGGCGGAGGTAATAATGATGCCATTGTATAAATTTTCAGATTGCTAGATAAACTGAATAGAAAAAGCACATCTAACTGAGAGAAATAGTGCAATTTTGTACAAACAACGTGCATGATAGGGCTTTAACATGTTGAAAAATAAAACGAAAAAAATTGTCCCGGGGTAACATAACATTTAAAATAAAAAAATTGAATTAGAAAACCCCTCTATTCATCTCCTTTCATCAACAGTTACGAAGCAAAAACCATCGTAACAAAATCATTCATTTATCTATAAGCCATATTCTTGTAAAGAATGATCGTATGCAAGGAATGGGAAAAGTTACTTGTTTCTCATATCAAATCTCATGAGAAGCCCCATAATTATGAGTTAAATAGTGATAGTTCTCCACAGCATGATTTTGTACTTTCTTGCGATTAAACTTACGTTTAACACAGTGTCCGAGGCCGGTGGTGTCTCTGTATCCAGGCCCACATTCACAAAATCTGTTTGCACTGCAGACAGTATTTGGTTTGGTGATGCAGCTTACTGCCGCCGCTGGATCACATTCTATAAAACGAAACAATATACAGGGGAAGGGGGGTCTTTCCCTGACATGTAACTACTGAAGTGATAGGAAAGTTGATGTATCATGCAAATTTTATATCTAGTATGCACTTTGCATTTAACGATGCAACATAACTTTTAACCTGTCAGTCGACATGTTTCTCATTTAAAATAAAACCGTTTACAGTTCTTCCACATCTTAAATATTCCTACCTGGACACCGTTGTAAAGAACATGGTACCGTATCTGTGTCACCCTGAATGTCAGTTGGACAGGTGAGACCGCCATTGGTTGGTTCTGGGTTGTTGCATTGTCTTCTTCTGCTTTTCGTCCCGTTCTCACACGTGACACTGCACGCCTCCCAGCTACCCCAGGGTCCCCAGTTACCATTTGCTAGGGAGAGAGAGAGAGAGGCATATTTTTTATTAAAACTCCAAAGTTGATATCGTATTATATATTTTTAAAAGTAGATTGTTCCTGAATCCGGGGATTCTTTTATTGCAAGTGTAAGACATGATAAATGGTAAGTGATTTTCAAACTAAAAGGAATACTTAAACTGAGTTCCTGACACTTAGTAAACGTCCACAACAAATAGACGAAAAACTATACGTACCTCTCGGTGGAAGAGACAGATCTTCATCTATTTTTCCATCCCCATCATCTTCAAAATTAGCACAGAGATTAATAGATGTGAAATTACTTATTCATATTCGTAAAAATGTTTAACACAAACATTGTTTTAAATGACGAAAAACTCGATTTTCAAAGATAAAACTGCGTTTCATGAAGAAGTCATAAAATATAGACTAAACACCCTGAAGAATTTACCACAACAAGACGTGAAACTTACCGTCGATATTATTTTTGATTTCCTCATCTACTCTTCCGTCACAGTCTTCATCAACTTGATTTCCAGCGACAATATTTTGTCCTACAAATGGACTGCAACCCTGAAAGAGTAAAATGTCCTTAACAGTATAAAAACGAAATTACACTTAAAATGGAAAGACGATCTTTCTTTTCAACTATTCATTTTAGAGACTGAGTAGACGACATCATTGATTTATGAGTGGTTCATGTATTGTATTACCCAAAGCTGAAAAAAGTGATTTTAAAACCATTTGGGACAAAAACTTGTCAACCCGAAAGGAGTAACCAACTTACCAATGTGTTTTTGGCTACGTTCATTCCTGCAGGATAAGTAACATAGTAGTTACCATTTGAACTTGCATGGAAACCACTCATGAGACCGTAAAAATTTGTCAAGGGATCAGTGCTGTAGATTTCATGAGCTCCCGGTGATACTGGCATCGTACCGACATAATAATTAGTTGACGATATTCTAGTAAAAGACATATTCATGGGTTGACCATCCATCCTCAGTGTACCGGCATTTGTTGTAACATTCGCAACATAGATTGTCATGTGACTGGACATCTCTGCAGCTGTTTGTCCCAATGTGGTGAAGGTATACCTAGATCGGTACTGGTAGACGGGTGGAACTATGATCATGGAGGCATCTATCATATTTGAGGAGGAATCCATGGACTGAGTAAACAAGGCGACTTGAATTGGAGAGTCTGACCAAACGCGTCTGAGAACAGCACTGGTGTAGTCTCTGACAGGGGTGTAAAATTCGGTCACAAATGTACCACTAGCGGCCTCACCGGAAATGTATACCCTACCTATATTTGGATGTCTGTCTTGGGACATAATCTTCATTTTATACTTCTGTGAATTAGGTGGAGCAGAAATTAGGAACTCTTTGCCCCAAGCATCATATGGAGTCAACTGTTGAACCAGATGATCAGACGTCATAGTGCCTTCAATCTGTACCTTTTTGCTTCCAGAGAACACAGCAATAGCGCTGTTAGCCACAATCTGAGTGGTGGTGAGATCATCACTCTGGAGGTGAAGGGTCTGGTACCTTGACATGGTCACTGTAAACTCGGCATAACCAGTGTGTGCTACACCGTTGAAGGTAACGGCGTTATTGGGTCTGCCTGGCAGCTTAATTGTAACCTCGGTACGGTCTTGAGTGGAAACCACGAGAATCTGTCCTTGGTTTGACCATGTAATGGCGGAATACCTTGAACCAAGGCCAGTCACGGGTATCGCAGTGAACGCGTCTCCAGACCCCTGCTCCTGATTCAGACCATACAGTGAAATGGGTTGGGTAGACATGACGTGAATACCCTTGTTTTCCACCCGACTGCCTGTGGCTTTGAAGTTCGCTGGTATGGAGACTCTCACACTCTGCCCCCTTGCTATCTGTGCTGTTTTACGAAAATTGGTATCTTGTTTCGGAGCTGTGACGGTGACTTCTGCCGGTGTGTTAGACCCAGTCGTCATGTACAGGTACATATCACGACCATCACCATAATCATTGTCCATAAATCCTACATAAAATTCAGTTCCTTCATTGCTAAAAGAAGCTGCAAGACAAATAATAAATGCATTGATAAGTCCGTTCCCTTAATTAGCTCCCTGTACTGAAGAAAACACTGTTCCCTGCAAATTTTGAATGCTTATAGTCAACAAAGTACATTGTAGTTGTACGATTACTTGAGTTTTAACATAAACCACTCTGATATATGCTTCTTTATGAATGCCAAATGAAGTTATGGGTACAAATATACTCAAAGAGATCCCATAGAGTGTAATCCTCAATGTTCATTTTTATATGCCAAAATATTAATTTAGATGATATGACACATGCTTTTTTCATATCAAGACATCGTCATTTTATCATGCGGAGATAAATGCAGGAACCGCGTCATATACATTATTTTTGTTAAAACAATATATCAAATTCGATAAGCACATACGCAACTCCTTTTCATTGTTTCATAAGTCCAGATATAAGGGCCTATCGCCAAATTCACCGTCAAACGTTCGACTGAAATTTATGTTATTATTGTAGACAGTACTTACACCTTTTTTAATACTTCAATTTAACTTGCTTAATATGGCGTTCAAAGTCCAGTTCAATATTTCTTATGATCTTATATGTTACAAAATTAAGTTTATTATTTTTATTTTCTTCTAGATTTGACCTTTTTACCTTTGACTTTGGATCCTGTAGACATTACAATTGTCAGATAGATCAACCAACAGACACGAGACGCCATGGTAGGGGCCGATGGCAACAGCGAACGTGGACGATATCAGTGTTGTAGGGGAAACTGTAAAAAGTCAAGATAACTGTACTGTACATATTAGAAAAAGCATATGGGCGTATTGTTTTTACGTGTATAGGGTGTCTACCGCTCAACTGTACTTGCAAAGCTTACTGTGTGTTTTTCAAAGAAAGCTTCTTATAAATAAATAATAAAAAAAGAAAACCAAGGCAAATTGCACTCAAATAAAAACAGAAAAGGCCGGACCCTGAAAATCTGAATGGAGTCTTCCTTGGTTTAATGTTAAATGTTCATGTTTTAGATATTGAACAGTATCAATATTGTTCTATATAAAAACTGTCCTGTGTTACAAGGTATGTACATGGACAATTTTATTTAGCGGCAAGTTATCCTATGAGCTTCGTGTCATAAATTATAATTGAGCAAATACACAAAGCTTGCAAACAATATAGCGCCATAAGCACCCTCTAGGGTAGACTTGTGAAGATTCTTCTGTCTATAGGTACTTATATTTGTCTGATCTCACTTCAATATTTCGTCTGCTTGCAGTCAGACTTCATCAGGGAATGAAATTGTGACTGGTGTGCTTAACAGAAAGAATCGCTGAACATCAAAAATCCATCAAAAAACGTGATAAAAAATCTGCCCTCAGCCAACACCAGGAACAGACAGGGCATTGTATAACATCAACAACCATAGAAGACATAAAGACATAAAAATCTTGTAAAACCACCTAATCCTTTAATGGTCTCCCCGCCTTCACACGGTTTTGCTTTCATGTAGGGCCGCCATATTTGATCCTCGGACCAGTAGATCCAAGAATCATCTGTTCTGAATGCGACCTAGGTCTAATGCTACGTTTCCAGCCAAAGTGGGTCGGCCTGTTTAAGAACGACCCATCTGATCTTTCACTGCTAATGTGGTTGAGGCTAGGATCCAAAATATTTTGGATATTAGTTTGAGGTAAGTCGCCGCTAGCTCGGCTACCCATTATGTACTTATGGTCATGAGAAACAACTGAGATGTGTCGATCCAACTTGGCTAAATCAGGCCCGTGGTCAGGGAGGGGGTTCGGGGGGGGGGGGGGAGTTCGAAAGAACCCTACTTTTTATCGAGCAAAGGACCCCTCTAGGTACAATTTTATCTAAGTACAAGAAGGTTTCATTGTATAGGTCCACTTTTTCAGGAAAAGATACCCCCCCCCCCTTTGAAATTGCTCCCTACGGGCCATTAAATATACATGACTTGTATTTAACCATTAATTCATTGTGATTACAACGGCGTTCTGTCATTTACATCGGCTAGCAATATTATCTGTTATATATATATATATTATCAGAAACTGTAATAAATTGAAATAAAAGCTTACTTTTTAAAACTTGATTTTTGCACCTTGAGATACATTGGCGTGTCCCATATCCAGCTTCGATCTCCTCACAGGTATATTTATTTTACTTCCGCGTTAATAACCCCCAATATGTCTGCAGAATAATAGAGAGCGCACAGGTAGAATAAAGGCTTTTTTCGTGTATGTGAAGAAAGACGTGTTTATAAGCGAATGAAAAGCGCACAGCTGTTTTTCGATCTATTAAAAATAGAATGAAGTGTGCATAACCTTCATGATCGAGATTTGGAGGGGTCAATCATGAGGACATAATAATAATTAATTTACTCATTCATTATTCTTTTTATAATAATAATTGTTATAATTATTATTATTATTAAAAAAATAGTGAATGAGTAAAATAATTAATGAATTGATTAATAATTATATAAGTAACTGACAAGCACATGCACTTTCAAGTAAGTTGCGCAACGTATACAGTAGCACCCAAACCCAAATAGAGGTGCATTTCACATGCTGAAGTGTCCAAAAAATAAAATTGAATGAATTCAAAGTTGTATTCATTTTTTTTAACATATATGTGTACAGAACAAAAATCCACGACTGTCTTAATTTTAATTAAATTTTAAATTTTACAATGTCTCTACACTGTGCAAAGAACCCTCAATGGTTACGTACGTTCCAGTAACATATGGTAACGTATGTTCCGGGACATTTGATTTTAATTTTTATACCGCTTTCCGATACAACTTGTAGTGTTTCAGTCGTGGTATATTGTACATGACGTAAGGATGTTTTTATAATTTTATAATACTACAGAAATAGGGACATTTTTTGCTCTGTTTAATAATTACAGGAAAACTTATGTGGCGAAGGGAGTCACCGTGATGTTTTGAAATGGAATTTAAAAAATAATTATGCAATAAGGCTAATATATTATAATGGCACAATTAACATTAACAAAAATGAAACATGTAATTATTAAAGGTGGGGGTGCAAATGCGCCCCACGTAGGAAAAGCTGTAGGGTGGGAGGTGGAAAGAAAAGGAAAGTAAACAAAGAGAAGGGAAGCAGAAACAAGAGACGATAAACGTAATAATAAGAGTACGCGTAAAATTTAGAGTGCTTATCTTGTGATTCGTTCAGGAAATCGGAATAAAAATCTAACGATGAAATTTGATGTCTGTTCTTCCTGACAGCAATAGTGAGACTGGCCTTTGGTCACGTGTTATGGAAACTAGCTACTGATTGGTTCCGCATCATCATAGTAGGTCAGAGGTCACGTACTGATAGTGTTATAATCGCGTATATACGAAATACCCCGATGACTCCCGAAAGTAATTCTGTGTATTATAAAGTCGGTTATAGCTTTGCGATAACCTTGTATAAACTGTAACTCAAGGGCTTTGCGTCATGGCTAATACTACGTAACGTATGTTCCCCAGAAAAATTTCTGCAAACCCATTTTAGAAATGTTCAGAAATGGCAGGTTCAGTCATCTGGACCAGATGGTATTTCGCCAAGGCTTCTAAAGACATGTGCACCACAACTGGCACATGTATTCACGGATATTTACAATCTATCGCTGCTTTCCCAACGAGTTCCGCGGGCATGGAAGACAGCTACTATCATTCCTGTGCCGAAGTCCAAAACAGTTTCTTGCCTAAACGATCTCCGTCCGGTTGCGTTGACCCCAGTTCCAATGAAAATTCTAGAGAAACTTGTTCTGTCGTATATTAAAACCATTGTACCAGATGCACTTGATCCCTTTCAGTTTGCATATAGACGCAATAGAAGCGTAGATGACGCTCTTAGTATGTGCATACACAACATTTTAGAACACGCAGATAAGAAAAACACATACGCAAGGATCTTATTTATAGACTACAGCTCGGCTTTTAATACCATTATTCGACAAAAACTTTATGCTAAGCTTTTAAACGAGTTATGCAGTTGGGTTTTAGATTTTTTATTAGACAGGAGACAAGCTGTGAAAGTGGGTACAAGTACTTCTGATATTGTGGTTTTAAATACAGGTGCGCCTCAGGGTTGTGTTCTGTCACCATGTCTGTACAGCTTGTTCACGTATGATTGTGTTTCATCTCATGAGAGTAATTGCATCGTGAAGTTTGCAGACGACACCACTTTTATTGGCTTAATAAGTGATAATGATGAGACCTGGTATAGAAACGATGTCAACTCAGTTGTACATGCGCAATGGTGTAAAGACAACGATTTGTTACTGAATGTAGAGAAGACTAAGGAAATGATTGTTGACTTCAGAAAGAATAGAAATGTGAAAGAACCCATTCATATCAGTGGCACTGCAGTAAAGTAAGTAGCCAATTTTAGACTGCTGGGGGTAGAATTCAATAGCTCACTTACATGGAAGGACCACACAGACAAACAGTTAAAAAAAAAAGCGAGGCAAAGGGTATATTTTTTAAGAAAGTTGAAGGATATTACTTCAAATGAAATGATTTTAGCAAACTTTTACAAATGCGTTATAGAAAGTATATTAACATTTGCAATCATAGTATGGTATGGGCGGGCCACTGTAGAAGAACGCAAGCGTCTAGATATGGTCACATCAACGTGCGGCAAAATCATCTGTCTGGAACTCCCCTCTCTAGGTGCCATCTATACTAATAGATCAGTAACAAAAACAATCATGTCTGACTATACCCACCCCGCACATGGGCTTTTTAAATTTTTACCGAGCAACTGCAGGCTTTTAACTTTTAAGGGATCTAAAAGGTTTTTAAAGAGTTTTTACCCATCTGCTGTGTCTTATTTTAACAACAAAAATGGAAATTTATAATTTATTTATTTATAATTTATTTATTTATAATTTGTAACCCGAATAGCAGTCCAATTTCCGTTTTATATGAATTTTATATTTATATATTAATGACTGAATAAACTCTTATCTTAATCTTAATAGATTTTCAACTTTACAAAAGTTTTATTGTCCTAAACATGAAAATCTTTCAAATGATTTTTTAACACATGTTGACTATATCTCAGGCACAAATGATGTGCCTGAGAAATTCTTTGTCATAAAATTTCTCCATTATTCTTCAAGTTACAAGTTAACGTGTTAATAATAACCGTTTTTAGTATATTCACTTTAGTTTATTGTGACAACATTTGTGTTTGTTTTACAAAATACTTTATAGTTGTTTCTAACAAAATAAGTAGTTTTATGGCGTGAGTAGTTTTAACTTTAATAAAATCACGGCTGAGCCAATACACTTTTGAAACACTTTGACCCCATTTCCAGAGATTAGATCGATCTACTTTAGATCGACCTAACTCCCTAGGGGTTCACGTTAAATAGCTGTCAGCCGAGCGGACACGAAAGTTAATTACCCCCTTACAGCTTGTAGTTGGCGGGACGGACATTTAAGCCGGATTATCTGACAGTAATCTTGAGAGACTCCCCGCGGGGATAGATCGTTCTAAAAGCTCTGGGAATACAGCCTTTAACTGAAACCTCTGTTTAGGCTCCTCTTGAGATTGTTATCGAATGTAATCGTTTGCTCTTTGTTGTGTAGAAATTGTTGTAAACAAATGGATAGGTCTCAACGTTTGAAAAGATATTTCTCTCATTTCGCAAAATTATTCAAACGTTAAAGCGCAGAGAATGAAGTGAAAGTTTGGTAAGTACTCTAACAGTTGAGGTGCAGTTTAAGATAATGAAAAACCTCTTTCACATGAAGATGTATTGCAACAAACTTATTGATTTTTTGGCTTTGCTTTCCACTTTGTAAATATGTCTTAATTCACTTTCTACAGAAATTATATAACTGTTAGCAGAAAATTGTATTTTAAACGCACACATATTAATAAGCATGAAATAATTTATACCTGTCTTCAATATTGTTCAACTATTGATTTGCTGGTCCTCTTTGCTTTACCTGTCATGTTATTTCAACATGAAATATGTTCATTATGTAGGGGATGCTTTATCGATTTTGGCATTGATCCCAAGGCATATACTCATTATAATTTTTTTTCACAAAAAAGATCATTAACAGTTGTTTTGAACAAGGTAATATGTTCTGAACAGGAATTTTTCAAAATGAAATTATTATATTATATAATTATAATTACATAATTATATTTTTTGACCTTTTGTGCACTTGGTCTTATGGTCTTAATGTCTTATGAACTACATCCATGCATCTAAAGACCATCGATAAACTACAAAAACAAATTACATATTTTATGGGCCTTGGCCCTAGATCTCATACATTTTACAAGCATAAGCTATTCATAAGTGTGGTCATGGTGTCACTTACACTATATCAACAGTATCGTTGTTCAAAAGAGTATGATCCACCGATGCTCTCTACCACGATTTTGTATGAGGTCAGTTAGCTAGGTCTTTTCTTACAGGTCATATCGATCAAGTGGTCTGTTTTTTACCATTAATGTCAACTCTGTTAAGTCATTTTACTCAACTCTTACCCGGTACACTCTATCTTCTGGCCTAAGAGACAGTACTACATTTTTGATAAACTGTCCAGGATATAATGGGGATGCTTTTGAATATTAAATGGTGCAACTTTTAATTAAAGCTCTCAAAATTTTAATAATTTTTGTTTCTCCTCTGTCCAATAGTACCATAGACCTGACCATATTTTAGAATGATTTTATTATGTATATTATTAGAATGGTTTTATTATGTAAATTATGTGCTTTTTATGCTTGTACTCTTTTATGTCTTTCACCCTTGAGGTGATAATAAATAAATAAAAGTAATAAATAAATAGAGTTAGAAGTGGGCATATGATTAATTGTACCTAGTCAACGTGGCAAATGATGTAACATGCAAAGGGTGTCTATTGAGACTTTTTTTAGCATTCCTTTTTTTTCTTATTTTCTGTACTGTTGCCCTTCATACATCATGTAGTACTTAGTAAATTATATAAGAAATGAAAAAGTGTTACAATGCACAGGCAATTAAGTTGACCTAAATATCATTTCCACAAATAAGTAATAATAGTGCATTCTCTTTGGCCAAATAGATATTCCCATGACATATTTGAGATGGGGAAGCCAGGTAACGGTATATCCACTCTGCGAAAAAGGAGGAAAACAAGAGGTGACCATGACAGTTCTGCTCCACCAGTAAAAAGAATTGTTTCCACTATTGTTGAAGAAGAAGAAATCAGTGAGCTCCCATTAGCTGATGGCCCAAGGACATTCTCCATGTTACAGAGAGCTATTTCTTCTAAGAAAACACTTTTTACAGGTATTTGCCATTTGAAAATTAAAGATGCTACTCAAATTTATAAAGAAATTTAAAAACATAACAAGATAAAGAGCAAGTTGAGTAAGACTTATATTGGATTTGTTTAGTAAATTAAAGTAAAAACATTAAGTCATGTTTATGTGCTACATTTTTAGAGATGTAAGGCATCACTGCAAGTAACAGCTACTTAATTCATTATGATATTGCATTGTAGGTCTGTTGCTGTTCAGGATATTTAATGCAACCCTGGTGCAGACGTACTTTGTTCCTGACGAATATTATCAGTCAGTGGAGGTGGCACACAACATGGTCTTTGGATATCCTTAAAAAAATTGTATTCAAGTATTGAAATCAGAATTTCAAGTTGAGTAATGTCTATATATATATATATATATATATATATAATATTTCAAAATGTGACTTTTCAAAATTTGATTTTCGTGTTGGCCCCTTTGATGTAAGCAGTTTATAGTATGCTACAAATTACAGGGAAATTGGAATGTGTCAGTTTTGGCAGAGGTGCATATTCATTTTTAATTAAGTTTTTAAATTAAGTTGGTTCTCCTTGACATTATACTTATGGTCTCTTGACTTGGGAATGGAAGGAAGGCCTCCGAGGCTACACTTACCCACTCATCTTTGCTGCTTTGTATAAAGTTTTGGCGCTCTTTCATTTGGACCATAGGTCGCTGTTAGTAAGTATGCATTCAGCCTGATACGTAGTTGTTAAAAACAGCTTTCTGTACTGATCTCACCATCTGTGTAGCATAGTACAATGATGTTGCAAGTGACATTTTCAGGATTAAATATAATGGTATCCATCTCTTGTTAAAAGTACAAATGTAATAATGCTGTAGAAAATTACCTTAACATTATTGATGTTTGGAGTTCATGTTGCACTACTTCTAGATAAAGCTCCCCAGGTTACTACAAGCTGTATTTGCTGCCATTGGTGACTACCATCTGTTCAAACTTTCCAATCATCTGTGTGATAAAGCCACAGCACAGTGGGCTCTGCTGTCACAACTCTTGTCCTGGTTCACATTTTACTGCTGTACTCGTACCCTGACCAACTCTGCCGAGGCTGTACTGACCACGGTGGCGTTGTCCCACTACCCATGGCCCGGGCGAATAAGGTAGGAGTCTGTTTTCTCTAAGGATTCAGTGGATTATTTTAGGAATTTATGGGAATAAAGGTGGAAATATAAAAAGGATTAATTTCAAAATGCAAACTGAGATTTTAAAGGATGTTTTATCGGGATATTGAAATTTATTATTTTAAAATGAACGGAAATGCAAATTTTGCTGTGCAAGTTTAACAAGTTAAACAACTAGACATTGAAATGAGGCCTGCTTAGATTCTTGTCATATTGTTTGAGTAACATACGTACATCAGTATATAAGAGTGGCATAATAGCACAGTACTTCATTACTGTCTGTAGTGTTCTGATCACTTTTTTTTCTTCAGTCCACCATTATGGAAGTTTGTGAGCTTGGTGGTAGCAGCAGTGATCATCCGCCCAACTGCTGCCATCATGTGGGTGCCCATGGTTGCCTGGCATCTGTGGAGGAAACAACAATCTCTAGTTGATGTTTTGAAAACCTACATATTAGTGGGGTAGGTGTCGGGAAATGGTGGACAGTTAATTTTTTGCTTCCCTAACCAAGCAGAAGTAAATTAGTGAGTTAAGGCAGCTGAAGTGTATTTAAAACCACATGCATTGATCATTGCAAAAAGTACTAAGTATGATGTTTTAAAAGTTTACATGCAGGTTATCTTTGAAATCAGGTCATTTAAATACATGTAAACCTGTTCTTATATTATGGGTTGTTTCAGGGTCTGTGGTCTAGGCTTGTCTCTTTTGATAGATGGCAACTTCTACGGCAAGTGGACTATGGTGCAATACAATTTTCTCCAGTTTAATGTCATTAACAATATGGGGTCTTTCTATGGCTCTCATCCCTTTCATTGGTACTTCACTCAAGGGTTTCCTGCCATTATTGGACCACATATTGTACCTTTTGTGATAGGGGTATGGAAGGCCAGAGATAAACGACTGTTTTATTTGTTACTCTGGACATTAATTATTTATAGGTAAGTATACTTTGTCATTTTATGGAAATTTTTTTGATTTTGATGTACAGTAGCAATTTTTTTCACAAAACAAACATCTGTGGATCATTTGACGGATTTTCAGTTTTGGACTTTAGTTTGTCATTTTTATTTTCTCTTTTCAAAACTTGGATGTGGTTACATTGAGTGTTCAATAAATGATTAATTGGTCTTTTAGTTTCCTTTCCCACAAGGAGTTCCGGTTCATCTATCCAGTATTACCCCTTGCTATGCACTATTGTGGAATATGCCTGCACCAGCTCTGCCTGCCAGTGGTGCTTAAATCTCGAAAAGAAAAGAAAAAGAAGGTGAAAGCGCAGGCAAATAAAGAAGCTGCAGAAAAAGCAAAAATGGATCCCAATTCTTTTCTTGCCAAAGACGTATCTGATTTATCAATAGGGGAGAATGAGGGTGGGACTGCTGCAGTAATGGAAGACACTAGTACTGGATATAGCAGTACAGGATATAGTAGTAGGGATGATAGTGATATTGGAATGGGAAGCAAACTGAGGAAGGAAGAGGAGGAGAGAGCAGAAAAATCTAACAAAGAGGAATCTGTGGGAAAAACCAGACCAGAAACTTCTGGAGATGAAGTAAAATCCTTAGATGATAAACATATATGCAAAGATTCTGAAAAGAATGGTGCAAATTCTGTAGAGCCATACTCAGAGGAGGAACCAGCAAAGCTTGGTAGTTGTACTCACAAAAAAGGCCCCACCAGAGCTTACATTGCTAAGGCAATCACTTTATTCCTGTTGGTCTTTAATCTGCCTATAGCCCTGTACACTGGCCTGATACACCAGAAAGGAACCGTGGATGTTATGAAATTTGTGTATGATTCCTCCAGAAAAGTGGACCACCTGGATGCCCTATTCTTGATGCCCTGTCATTCCACACCATTCTACAGGTAAGAGTTGTATGTGATTAACAGAGATATAATTATTTGTATTATTATTTTTTTTTGATTAGGTATGTTGATTGAAAGTTTGTATCTCCGCTACAATCTTCTTGTTTAAAACATTTAGGAATAAGACAAAAATTATTGGGTGTTTTAAGATGTCTTGTAAATGGCAACCTTATTTCTTTATTTATTCATGTGAAGCTGAAAAAAAAACAGGTTTTGTTTCTATTTCAGCTACATACATGTAAATGTGACCTTGAATTTTCTCACCTGTGAGCCCAACCTGCAAAACATTCCCAACTACCTTGATGAAGCCGATATATTTTATCAGAACCCGAAGGAGTGGTGGAAAACAGAATATCTTGACAAAAACTCCTCTTTACCCACCCATGTTGTGATGTTCAGCGAGTTGCACCAGAAACTGGACGTGTTCTTAACAAGGCAGCATTACAGAGACTGTGGGCGATTTTTTCACACACATTTTCCAGAAGGGAGAGTTTCGAGTCATGTGAATGTGAAGTGTAGGAAATACTAATATTTTTTCCCAAGTACAATGTCAGTTCTATTATTTTGGACACTTGATTTACAAGTTTTGAAATATTTTAATTGTTGGTAATCTAGTCATTTCTATTTATTTATTTTTTCGTTATGGTATTTTTTTACACAAGTGAATTTTTATCTCCTTTCATCATGAATTGCTTTAACAATACTTCTTGGATTTTTTTTAGTATAGGTCTTTGTGTAATATTTTGTAGTTTTTAATCAGGGTAAAATTACAAGAGTTGTGGATTCTTAGCTTGGATTGGATAATGTTTTTTTGAACTTTGCAAAACCTGCAGTAAAATTTCACATGAATGCAATCTGGATTTCCCCAATTTAACACCATGCAGATTCTCAACATATACAGTTTCCAACGTTTTTTTTTTCTTTTGGTTTTTTTAACACATTATCTCAAGTTTTATGTGCGTCTCAGATGGCCTGCTTTAAAGATTTAGATAATTTTGTCACCAACAGTACAAAAAGCTTAATTAAAAACAAAAAAGAACAAATATTGCCGTAGAAGCAGTTTATTGCCATTTAGCTTTTTTTTCCTGGAGGATCCTGCACAATTCATCAGATCAACCCACTTCAAAACAGTTAATTCCTAAATACATATAATTTGTAACAGGTGGACCACTGTATGCATAAATCTACTGGTGGGACTAGTTTTTACATCTTGGTAACTAGCACAGTTTTTTTTTCTCAACAAATGATCATTTTCTGAACACACTTTGATGATAAAAAGCATGAAAGTCTTTTCCATAACTAAGGTGACAATATGCATGCCACAAGTTTCCTGGTTCATACCATAGAAAAACTATTCAAACCAGGAAAAAGTATCTCGCTTTAAATATTGAAACTTTTTTATGTGTGTGTGTGATGACCTTTAAAAAGTGTCATGCAAGAAAAACAATTGGATACCTTATTGTGTGTTTAAAACTAAACAGAGGTTAAAATGTGGTTTGTATAGCAAAGTCTACAAAAGTAAAATGCTCCAAAAAACATTCCTCTGAAACAAACAGCTCACTACAAATATATCAACCAATATATAAAAAACCTAAGAGTGCAATAAAATGAATTAAGACCAAAACGGACACCTGGACTTGGTTATTTGTATATCAAAATCTGCACTGAGCAAGGGCATAAGGGTGGAATGAGATTTAAATGCACTGTGTAGTAATGCTATGTATGCTAAAGCAAGCTGTTCAAATTTCATTCCAATCTAAATAGTACAGTCGATTCTTATAAGCCAGTCAGCACAGCATATTAATACACACACCCAAATGTGGTCATAATGATTTTAATGGGATTCCCTTAGATGCTAAATGATGTTTTATCATTCATTTTAGTATTAATTTCACAAACAACTTTAACAGTCCTAGTTAAATTATCAAGCCAAAAGATTTAATAATAGTAGTACAAAACATACCTGTTCATGATCAGAATGCCTGTAAAAAATGCTGCCCAAGCTGCCTTGATTCATAAAACACTGAAGGATGATTAAAAACTACAAGGATGACTTACAACTACTCTACATAAATGTAACTCGATTTGCCAAAGGACATAATTATATACATATACTTAATGTGTAAACATTAAACTGATCATCAAAAAATCAGTGGTGCCTATGAATTTGAACAATGACTACGCTTCTATGCTCAAGAATCCCCTTGCTGTATCAGACTTTTACATCTGAGATTCAAGGACTACACGTTTAATGTTTTGTACAACAATCCTTTCATAAATATAAAAATAAACACCCTAATGTATACAAGTGATGTGATTACTCTCTTTTTAAAATTTATCGTAATTTGTTATTGCTTACAATATATGATAATAACAACTGATAGTTGTGATAGTAGAGAGGTCTATATGTTAACAATGAGTAAGATCAGCAATGGCTTTGTAATGCATTACAGGTTCATTTTACATGAAAAAGTTAACACTATACAAGATTAACAATATAATTTGGTTAAGAATTAAGTAGACTACATTAATAAATACAATTCAGTCACTAACCACACTATAATTCTTAAAAGTCTACAAGTTGAGCACTTCAAAAGTTCAGGTAAAGCCATACCATGTCACTTCTGCCAAAGGCTAACAGGCATTTTTTATTTCCAATGGCCCTAGCCAAGTCAAATATGCAAAAAACATTAAGTAAACCTTTCATTGGAAACTGAGCCTTGTTCACCGGTTTCCATTCCAACTTAATTAATTGTCACCCAGGCCATGACATGTTCATTTCTTTTCAAAATAAAATATGACATGTCCTAATTCCAAGGCCTCTTGCAGTCAACTTCTGCTATGGAAACTTGATATCAAGTTCTTCTTCAGAATCCCCATCAAGCATGCAATTTTGATAAGCACTGGTAAGTGAAGGGCCATGCCAAAAGAAAAATAAAAAAGGGCATTGACTCTTTGTATCTGCTTATAGAACAGAGGACATAATGAGATATATAGTTGATTTATCTGCGATTCTTCTCTACTATTTACAGAGGTTCATATGTTATATGAATTGTCAAGAGGTATAAATAGGAACTCACTACAAAAGGGTCTAAGAACATACAATGTTTGGCATTTCAACACAAGACTTCAGTCGGGTAAGTCTCGACATAAAATTAAGTACTAATGGTCAAGTATAATACATGTGTGTGTGTATATCTATATATATGTATCACAGATACTAAGAATCTGTTCATATCTGTCCCTCTCATTCTATAAAAACTCCTTTGATGCAGGGTCATGTCTGCTTACACCATAGTGCTCCACTACAGTCCTTATCGCCTTTTCCCCCCATCATCTCAGTACAGAGGCTCTAGTAAGACGAGTATGATGACCTGAGCGACTGAAAGAGAAGAATAAAAAATATATACATAATATCTTTAAAAGACTACAGTTTGATTAGAAAAGGCCTGTTAACTTGCGTCCTAAAATCAACTGTTTACAGTACACACTCAAGTTCACATCAGACAAGCAAGAACCACAATTTCTTAACAGTATGTATGTTGCAGTAATGGTTAGCACCCCACTATGTCTAGGAGTAAATTTAGGTGGCTCCTTACCATCCAAGCAGTTGCAGAAGCATTATCATGGTTAACTGTGATGCACATTTTGAAAGCAGACAGGCCATTAATAACATTGTCTAACAAAGGTAAAACCCCATCAAAATCCAAAACCAGTATTTTATTTCATTCTCAACTACATTGCACACTTTCACACCAGCTTGCCTACACAACACAAGAATCACTTACTGTGGAATAATTAGACCTATAATTTTTCAATGCAGAACTTGCAGATGAGTTTGAATGATCTCCAGTACTTTTATAGATATCACTCGATCTGGTGTAATATGGTTCTCGACCATTTAGATCCCTTGCCTTAGAACTTAGGTAATCAGAGGCATATTCTGATGCAAGCCGAGAAGTGCTGTTGAGAAAAGGAGACAAATGGAAGAGTTTTGGGTTAGAATCATTGTTAAGGTATCAAATTTCAAAATGTCCCCATTCAAAGACACATACCTGTACATTCTCCTTTACACAGGTAACAATCTCACTCATGCGCACTAATGTATACTGACAGAACAGATAACCCAGCTACACATGCACCCAAGAACAAGACAGTGCTACAGAGAAAAAAATAGATAATGTTAAAGTGTTAAAAAAGATGTGCAACAGGACAGAAATGAAAGTTTTTTTAAGAGAGCAAACCTTGAATGTTTTACTTGTTTTCTGTAAATCATGATTTCCCAAACTAAGTCTTCATTGAGCCAAAGTCCATTTTTGTGTCTTTTCTCTTTTATCATTGTTAGTGTTTATTCTTTTGAAAGACTTTTTTTAATCGTTTGTCAAAATATATTTTTATTTCAATTATGGTGTTTCAAATTCATTACAATAGCACTATGCTTCAAACAGACAAGGTTTGGTGTGATAATATTTAGCTACTACAACGAATAAGAAAATTATTTCATGCAAACTTGTTTTCATTCCTCAGTCTTTCAAGTCATTCACCATGCAACCATCCTCAAAATTTTTGCATACTGAATTAATGACAATATCTTTTTTAATCATCACAAAACAAGAATGAATCAAATTGTCATTTCTTATTCATGTCTGGGCTAATTTTGGGGGGGATAAGCTAAGGAAACAAAAAAATACAGGGTAGGGGATTGTGCATGGAAAAAAAAAGCTTAGCAGAAAGCCAGCTTCAAGCACTGTACGTCATTGGATCAAGATTTTGAACTCCTTTATCATCCCCTCTGAAAAATTTTCCTTTATGTAAATCATAAAATAATACAGACCAGAGCCTACTCCATTTAACACCAGTTTTAGAAAAAAAAAAAGACTTGCACTGTGCTAAAGAAAAGCGAAAAAAAAAAAAAAAAAGAATACAACTGTAATTTTACTTTCCATCTCCCTACCTCTTAAGTACACTTGATGTTCCTGCAGAAGATGAAGTGGAATGTCGTGTGACACGTTTCACACTGGGCGCACTGGAGTGAGCATGGTTATGGGAGGCGATCTTGGATGATTTCATGGGTGACATGACACTCTGGGCACTCTTGGAGGAAGCCACAACTCTAAAGGGTTGAGTGGTGGACCTTTTGTGGACTTTGCCATCATCAAGCCTGGAGAAGAAGGAAACGAATCCTGTAGATCTAAACATTCAAATTTTCAATATTTTTATTCATATATATCAAATCATTATATCTTATTATATCCAATCATGATTAATATGCATTTTTTAATCATATGATATCAAATATAATTTTTACCACTAACATTACTTGCCCCTTTCTTTCACATCACTTTATGACTATGATCAACATGAAAACAAGATCCTCATTGCATTAAAAAATTAAAATAATGAAAAAGAGGGAAAATTTGAAATTATAATCTTATTAATAGTTCTTCTTCTGTTAAATGATAATAATCCACTCACGCCAATGTCCCTGTGGTTGCAGATCTTGGGTGTTGTCGTAGGAGTTTCAGCTGGTTGAGACGGTCCCCCTGGGTCATAATCTTACCACTTCTGGTGGCAGGACGACCTTCATACTGCAAACAAACAGTTGCCAGAGTGACAGTTGGTCTACAAATACTTTTTTGGAGAATGTGCTGTTGTCAACAATGCAAATAAGGTTATACTGAATCTTATGCAATGGGCATAAATGTATAACTATTTTCATAAGTAGTGCATCATTTTCTGATGACATATTGCTGTTATGATATTAAACTTGTCACAAAAAGTAAAATACAATTGTGACAAAAGTTTGACACAAGGAGTTCCATTTAGGAGAAGTCTTCCCTATTCAAATCTTAAAACACATTTATTGTTATCCTGGTAGAAACCCACCTCATCACCATCATCATAGTACTCATCATCCTCATGCATGGGGTACTTGTTGGTGCTGTATCTGTTGTTCTCGTAGGCCGCGTCCTGTATCCTGATGTCATCCATGCCGCTGAGGAGTTTTGACACGCTGTGCTTGTCCCGTAGCCTGTCCTTCTCTTTTTNATACAACTGTAATTTTACTTTCCATCTCCCTACCTCTTAAGTACACTTGATGTTCCTGCAGAAGATGAAGTGGAATGTCGTGTGACACGTTTCACACTGGGCGCACTGGAGTGAGCATGGTTATGGGAGGCGATCTTGGATGATTTCATGGGTGACATGACACTCTGGGCACTCTTGGAGGAAGCCACAACTCTAAAGGGTTGAGTGGTGGACCTTTTGTGGACTTTGCCATCATCAAGCCTGGAGAAGAAGGAAACGAATCCTGTAGATCTAAACATTCAAATTTTCAATATTTTTATTCATATATATCAAATCATTATATCTTATTATATCCAATCATGATTAATATGCATTTTTTAATCATATGATATCAAATATAATTTTTACCACTAACATTACTTGCCCCTTTCTTTCACATCACTTTATGACTATGATCAACATGAAAACAAGATCCTCATTGCATTAAAAAATTAAAATAATGAAAAAGAGGGAAAATTTGAAATTATAATCTTATTAATAGTTCTTCTTCTGTTAAATGATAATAATCCACTCACGCCAATGTCCCTGTGGTTGCAGATCTTGGGTGTTGTCGTAGGAGTTTCAGCTGGTTGAGACGGTCCCCCTGGGTCATAATCTTACCACTTCTGGTGGCAGGACGACCTTCATACTGCAAACAAACAGTTGCCAGAGTGACAGTTGGTCTACAAATACTTTTTTGGAGAATGTGCTGTTGTCAACAATGCAAATAAGGTTATACTGAATCTTATGCAATGGGCATAAATGTATAACTATTTTCATAAGTAGTGCATCATTTTCTGATGACATATTGCTGTTATGATATTAAACTTGTCACAAAAAGTAAAATACAATTGTGACAAAAGTTTGACACAAGGAGTTCCATTTAGGAGAAGTCTTCCCTATTCAAATCTTAAAACACATTTATTGTTATCCTGGTAGAAACCCACCTCATCACCATCATCATAGTACTCATCATCCTCATGCATGGGGTACTTGTTGGTGCTGTATCTGTTGTTCTCGTAGGCCGCGTCCTGTATCCTGATGTCATCCATGCCGCTGAGGAGTTTTGACACGCTGTGCTTGTCCCGTAGCCTGTCCTTCTCTTTTTGTCTGGCTCTGTACAGGTCCCCCTGCATCCACAACCAGGCTTGCTTCCTACAAGATCACAGTAAGCCAAGTGATTATGAAATGACTGGTCTTTCTTCAAGTGCCAAAATAAAAGGATTTGCATTAACATAGATGTTGCGTTTACAAGCAAGTTTAATATCTGTATTGCTGTTTAAATTGGCTGTACATAAGTACCACACATTTTGAAAATATTAAACATGCGATGTACTTGTTAAGGATAAACACATCTTGTGTTGGCATCACATAAACAAAAGTGACTCTACAAAAAATCAACTCTACTGTAGCCTTAAAATGCTCAAAGAACAAGGCATTTAGGTTATTTATTCGTAAACTTATCTGAACTGTGTTAAATTTGCCAAGAGTGAAAAGATTGTAACGTAAAATTAGTGTTCAAAAAGACCACTCACTCTTCCAAGAAGTTCTGCTGAGGCCCAATGATAGACCCTGGACGGCATATTCTTATCCATCCAATCAGCTCTGCTGCTGTGAACTTGTAATGCTTCATGATATAACAGCCTATGAGACAGCCTGTGCGCCCAAGACCAGCTGAAAGGAATAAAACCATTTTAATATCTATTTTTCCTTTCCAGACACATCTAATCTTTATTCAGGTCTTACCTTGAAATACCATAGTGTAATATGACTGTGAAAGATTTACATGAGAATAACACAGGATTAAGTCACATCTTGGCCCCGATTTCACTAAACTGACCCAAATTAGCCAAAACAGATGGAAGACAAAACCTCTTGTTCAATATAAAGTAGCACACACACAAAAAAAACCCTGTTCAGCAGTTAGCTTTAAAACAAATGTGTGAGATAGTTCCAGCAATGACACGGACAGACACTTGTTATTAGAATATATTATATATCACTGTATGCAAAGATGGCACAGTCCAAAAGGCCACTGAGACTGTCTGTCCATCTGAGGGTATAGATTTTCTGTTTATTAACTGTAGGCTTACCTTTGCAGTGCACAGCAATAGCACCTTCAGCATTCTCAGCAATCTCTAAAAACCTCTTGACTATGTCATCACTAGGGGTGCTGCCATCCACAAAGAAGAGATCATGGTGGTCAAAACCTGCATCTGTGAACCGCCTGGCGTCGTAGATTTTCTTGTTCAGCCGCACTATGGTGGTTACGTTGCGTTTCCTGAAGTAGGGGAAGTAGGCCTCCGGGGCGTGGAGCGGGTAGCCTGGAAGTGAATTCTTAAAATATAACACTTCACAATATTAAAAAAAAAAAAAAAATTACTCTTTCCTTTAGCAAAGAATAGATCAAAAGCAAGAATCAAAACATTCAAATTGAACATTCCAATGCATATGGACACTTTTCATAAATTACTTTTGACAATTATCATATACAACAAATACATGCTTGTGCATATATGTAACATGCGTGTGCACACATACATGTGAATAAATAATATCAAATGCTTAAGACTGGAACTACATGAATCATCACTCAAGTTGATAGAAAACAGCCTTTAAGCAAAAAACTTCTAGTTATAAATACAACACAGCAATGCAGTCTTCAGTTAGTTTTCTTTACATCACACTTCCAAAGAACATACTCTTATTTATTTTTTTTCTTGAAAAAACTTGAAAATTCAATGTTAGAGCATATACTTTGACTGAAATATGTCTATGCTATTTTCAAAAACTGATCTTAAAGGACAGTAAGTTTACTAAAGAAGTTCAATTATTTACCTACAACACTTCGTTTTGCATATATACTATAATTTTGTGTAAATATCTACATAATAAAATTACTATCTCAAAAAGACTTGTGCCGCACATAAATAAGCATCAGCAAAATAACATCAAAAAGTGCATTTTTTATGTTGTTGTTTATTCTGCACACCAATTCCTACCATTCTCAATCTTGCTTTTTGGATGTGGTCCACAGAATGCAAGAAATTTGTCAGGCAAAATCCAGTTTAAGTCGCCATTTTCTACTCGCTGCATGAAGAGAATCAAAGAATTCCATGCTTTTATTCACCGTTTATAATCTAAATATAATAATTCACCAACCACAGACAACTGCAAAACTTGAATTCAGCCAGATGTATCTTTTTTCTTTGAATTTTCAAAAAATGTTTGAGATGCATGAAACAGATCTGCCTCTCTATGCCCAAGAAGCGGTTGTCTATGCTTAGCTACATGCATGCATTCACAACTACACTGAAATGTGGCCAGTGTCTTTGTGAAATGAGTGAAAGGTTGGGCATTCGCCCAGTCACCAAGTCCTACCATTTTCAATCTTGCTTTTGGCATGAGGTCCACAGAAGGCCAGAAATTTGTCAGGCAAAATCCAGTTGAAGTCTCCATTTTCTACTTTCTGTAAAACCAGTTCATCATCAGAAAACTCTGATAACCTCATAAATAAGTCATCTTCCTTTTTCACTCCATTTCAAATTATAGTATATAAATGAGGCAATTTGCAAAGATTTATATAATTGACATATGGCTACAGGCTTTAAACAATTCAAAGTCTAAATATTTAATATATGAAACACAATAATAGCACTATACAGCAGTTATAATACTTTAATACAAAGCTATAGAAAGTATAATCTTTAATCTCCAATTCAGAACATTTCCACAAAGAATCATTCAGAATCCTACACAAAAATCAACAGCCAGACTGTATTCATAAATGACTTGCAGTGTTGAAATAAAACAAAAATGAATAAAATATGAGAACTAATCTAATTCAGTGCATTTGGGCAATGCTCAGTCAATACATATTATTGATTTACAACACCATCAATCCATTCAATCCAATTAAAGGTCAGCAAGGTCAATTTGGTTTATGTTCTCACAGCTGCTAGGAATTAATGAAACAAGTTAAATTTTGTTATAATTATTACATCCATTAACATCAAAGCGATTGGTGCGTCTGTTNCCGTTGGATTGGTCATCTCTGGAGAGCAGTTGACGTGTTTTTGAAGATGATGTGTCCTATCTTTGAACAGATGTCTGATGTAGTCAACCAGAAATCAGGCAAAGTAAGAAAGTTTAAAATAATCATTGAACAAGCTTCATCACAGATTGCTAATCACGGTAAATCATTAATTTTCACAGCTATGCGTAACTGATCAGAGCTAATTGTTAAATAATAAACTCTCATAGTCAAAACGATTTAAAATTTCTTTACAGGAATCCAAGAACAAAGCCAGGGGTTTTCTGAGATGGATGACAACTAGCAGTGTTATTGGTTACCTTTGTCTTCTGAAAGATGTTCTGAAACCTCTACACATACTGTCAAACAAGCTCCAGGCAACTGCACTGATAGTTCCTGAAGTGCCCATTGCATTAGAATGTGCAAAGCTTACACTTGAAGTATTCAAGGACAGGTAAATAGAATTGGATTTCACATGTAATCATGTTCAGGGTGCCACTTTGTTAATAATATAAGGCATGCTTTTGTTTAGTGATTAGCATTTTTTGCTTTCCAATTAAACATATTTCATGATTACTTGCAAATATTATGTGGTGACACAGTTTATAATTTATTATTTAACAGCAATGGTCCAACCCTGGAAAACTATCTGAGAAACACTGCACAGTTCAATGGGGTGAACCTAAATTACCCTGCATCCCCAGAATCACTCACAGATATGAGATATGCGCTTGTAGTTAATATATTGAAGCATATTGATGACAGATTAGAAGACCTGAATAGTGATACCATTGCTGCTACCAAAATTTCTTGCTTCAAACTTTGGCCAGAATACAGCAAGAGAGAAGAGCTGAGGGGTATGTTAACTTCAACACACACATTCTTCAAAAATGTAATATCAGAGTCATGTATTCAAGAAATGTACATAAAAACAAAACTCACTTTTATTATTAACAGTATAAGCATTTTTGTGTAAAAACAGATTTAGTTGAATAGTTTTGTTTTCAATCAGTTTATTTTATTTTCAGTGTTTGGAAACCAGGAGGTGGCTACCCTTGTCCAACACTTTAAGAACATCATTCCTGAGGCATTGCAACAGAATATTGAAGAGGAATGGATTTCATTTAGATCTGCTGTTTATTCAAGGTGATACTTCCATACTATTTACAATTTATGAATGAAATTTTGATGCTTCTGAACCCTCTTTAAAAATTAATATTTTGTTTATAAATAGATAAAATGTATGTGTACTTGAACAATACTAAATTATTTTCAGGTATAAAGATGATGTACATAGTTTGTCATGGCCTCTGGTTTGGAGAGAATACCACTTCCCTGCAGTTCAATCTGTCATTGACATTTGTCTGACTTTGCCGTCTAGCAGTGCCGAAGCTGAGCGGGGCTTCAGTGTTATGAAGAGAACCAAGACAGATGGCCGAGCATGCCTACAATCAACAGCCCTCAATATCTGCATGTCCGTTGATATGCTGACACCTTCTGTAAGAGATTTTGACCCCACACCAGCTGTTGAACATTGGCTTTGTAAGTCAGTTGCTCCAAGGAGGCCACTCTTCATGGAGAATAAGAAGGGTCCTCAGACTAAGGCATATCAGTCTGAGCCATCCATTGATGTGACAACTTCAGAGTCTGCCATTGATGTGACAACTCCCAGTATCCACTCTGAGCCATCCATTGATTTGACAATTTCTGAGTCTTCCATTGATGTGACAACTCCCAGTATCCACTCTGAGCCATCCATTGATTTGACAATTTCTGAGTCCATTGATGTGACAACTCCCAGTTTCCACTCTGAGCCATCCATTGATGTGACAATTTCTCAGTCTTCCACTGATGTGACAACTTCCAGTATCCACTCTGAGCAGGCAGAGATGTCAGACAGTGACAGTGATGAGGGGTTTGATGACTGTTACAGTGATTCAGATGAAGACAATGAAATGACTGAGAAGGATGTGGAGCAGTTTTTAAGACACAATTGATCTATAAATTTCATTAAACAAATTATGTTCATGGAGTACAAGTTCAGAAAATTTTAGAAATATAAGTACAGAAAATTTTATTAAAAATCTAATCAAAGTATCTCTAGGTGAAGTGGGGTAAATAAATATGCATATAGTTTGTTTAATTTAGATTAGAATGTGCAAAATCTGTAGACTAAAGAATAAACACAGTTCTATGTTTGAAAAAGGTTTTAAATTTTTTTCTTTATTTGCATATGATAACATCTCCATCATGAGTCATTACCACATGGCATGCACTTTGAATATTTGGCCAGTAACTTCGTAATAAAGCTGGCCAAAGTCTGGCTTGTGCATTTTCGTTTTGGCCAGTAACTTTCAGAGCACACTGGCCAAATTGGCCTGTGCTATTTCAAACGAAGGTCAAACACTGCATTACCATATATATATATATATATATATATATATATATATATATATATATCTTAATTTTTTTTCAGCACACTTCAACTGCGACGCACATACAGCAAACATCTTCATGAACTCCTGTGGTATACTTCCCACTGCCTGATGTGTGAATCGATACTTAGTAATGCTTAATATATAACGGCTTAAAGGGACAATTAGTTGTTATATATACAGATTGATGAAGTGTGGAGAGAATAAGCCTGGTGGAGGAAAGAAATTGATTGAAGTCTTGGAAACTCAAAAGATCAATATATATAATGGCAGGAAGGCCCCCAGTCTGGTTTGGCTAAGTGCTACGTGTTCTTGGGCAAAGATGTGAAGGCATGGAAGTCTGGAATTCTTTAGGGAAGAAAATGTGCACACATGAAATTGAATATAAAAAAGTGTGATTTAGAGATTCATTAACATAAAAAAATTAAAATTAAAAAATCCATTCAACATCTTGTTGCTGAATGTACTCAGTATAACTATTCTCTATGTACACTATTTCTGACACTTAAAACAATTTTTTCTTTCTTTCTTTCTCATTATTATTATTATTACTATTATTATCATAAATTTTGAGAAATAGGTGGGATCTTCTTGTTGTCATTGTCATATATTTAGACATCTATGCAGAACTCTTGCATTTCACTGTGCTTTAGCATATCTATTTACTTTGGAAAACAAACACAAACCTAACTGATCATAAAAATTGGAAGGGAGTAATAAAACTTGAAGTTAAGTAAAACCATACTCCTAAAACTAAAAAAGAATTTCAAAGGTAAAGGTCAATGTCAAAAATTCTCACTAAAGTAATAGCTTCTTACAACACAACCTAAATTCCTTATCATACGGATGAGGTGCACATCACAAAACACATACATTTCTCAGAAAGCAGCAACATTTCATCTTTGACAAATTACAGGAATGTGAAAGCATCAAATTCACAGAATGCCAGTCACATCACTGCCTTCTTTATTTCATTATTTGCTTAATGTCAAACGTAGACCATTTCTCTCAAACGTTCATGTAAAGGTTTTAGTACCGGAGATTACAATACATCACAGGTTTCTTTTGAATTCAAAGTACGAAAACAAAGCATCCGCTGTGAACCAACTGAATCAATAACTGCAATCAAAGTTCTTTATAAATAGCTAATTTTATGAAGTACCTGCATTTGTCTTGAAATGCATAACATGAATGCAGTTATACATTCAGTAGTAATTTTTGAATGACAAAACTCAAGGCCTCACATTTATCAAACAGTTTTTTAAAGTGTCATTTTGACCAATTGCAACACAATTTTTCAATGTAAATTTCAATATGCAAGCATGCCTTTGGATTGTTTAACTAAATCACTTCTACTCACCTGAATGGTAAAAATGGTGGATTGGACCCTGCCACCAGTGGTCTATATGCTTCCTCTGGTGTTTTCTTTAGATAAATAATCTGAAATAAATAATAGTTTTAGCGATCAGTAGTACTAAACTCCATGGTAAAACAACCTCTTTGCTTTCCATGTTTAATAACATCTTCATTTTTTTTAACAGTGCCAAGGCAATATTACTTTTCATATGTACTTCTGCAGTTCATTATATTACAAATTATTGTACAATAACTTGAAATACATTAAAACTACTATAGAAGTTATAAAAGCCTCATTCTTACTGAAATGATTTATCTGAAAATGTGGGACAAACAACACCACAACACCACATTTCTGCGTTTCTGCTATAAGGCGACAAATACTTCAAATTGCCTTTAAACATTTCCACTAAGCTTTGACCTACATTCTAACTGCCTACAAACCCATACTTGTTTCTACAAGCATGGAAGGAAATCGAAACACCCAAGTCTGGCAAACATATTAATGAATGGCAGTGATTTCTCGTGTCTTAAATTTCTACTTTTTTTCTTTCTCTCCTTTTTCCTCCTCCAAAAGTAATAAAAATAAGGTTACAAGGCAAAACTGCCAAATATCACAGCTTTTTCTAACAGCAATATTATAATGGCAAGCATCTATACTTGTAAGTGTTTAATTCATTGGGATATTCTTCCCCCCCCCCCCCCAAACTCTCTGACAAATACACTCTGCTTTTAGCAATGGTTGTAACAGCTCACATCATTCTAATTAACATTCTTTAACAACTATGGCCAGCAAAAAAAGTAGTAAGGGGTTATTTTCTTCAACAGCCTTCATATGAAGAAAATTCATGTTATTGTAAAATGTAAGCTCAAGCAATGTATGTATCTGTGCAATTGGCCTTTGACACTTGGCCAAATTCTTGTTTCAACATTAAAACTTATTAATTCCTGCATCCACGATTCTTAATTGATTAAAATGAACAATTTAAATTTCTACTAAAATACCAAATGCCATTCCTTTTTTATTTAAATTTAGTACGGGAGTGCTATGGCTACAGCAGTAAAGTGCTCTACCAGCCTTTGAACATAGTGCATTTTATAAACAACTTAGGAAGCAAAAAGTATCAACTGACGTGTGGTGATATATGATAAAGAGTAAGTGAATATAATTGCTTGTTTAACTTTTGGATAAGTTAATCTTCTAGTTCCCTTGCCCAACAGCAATTGTTTGGAAATACTTTGCTGAAAACTTAGTCTGTTGCAAACAAGTCCGTATGACATTTATATACACCTAAGATAAGATTTTTACTCCATACTTACTGCATATGAAGCTATAAGAAATGCTGCATTGGCACGTTTCCTTGCATCAAAACTTGTATAATGGACTATCTTTTTCTTTGCCAATGAAAAAGACTGAAAGAAAATTTTAAAAAACTTAAAATGCATATTATTATACATTCAGATTATGTAAAGGTAAGTAATAATAACAAAACTTGCTCTGTTTTGAAACAAGAAGCCACCCCCTATGCTTTTTTTTAAACATTCTAGCACTTCAGTGGGGGGCAGAATATTTAATTACCTAATGAATATTAAGGAACACAGATACAAAAGTACATCGTCCAAACAAGATTATACTTGTGGTTAACCCAACAGGTATTTTATGTAAAGTGATGCCATAATGTTTTTCTATAGGATTCTGTCAACTTCAACAAGCTTTTTACAGGGCTAATATCACATCACAGTACAGTTAAACCATAGAAAGGGAATGTGGAACATTACTTTCAATGTGATCATGATTAAATTAATATACATGGGAACTATTTGAAATAAGATCCCCATATGCAATCTGTTGAAAATATTATATCAACACAACAACACAAACATAATGGTCTCTTTTAAAGTGTTCTCTCTGTGTATCATCTTCTATTAAATAAACTCTGTTCTGATCTCTGTCCACCAATACTTTCACAGCTAGGTTATTAATTACATAACATAGTTACAAAACATAAGTTCTTTACAGTGTATTTAATCAGATTAAACATGCCAATGATTTGTAATATAATAAAAATGTTAAATCAACAAGCAAATAAATTAGTCCCAAATGAAGCACTATATAATTTTTGATACAATTTCCCTTTTTAAACCTGCAAAACCATGGACGCAAATGAGATACAACACATAAAATAGGAGTACTGAAGAAATATTTCTTAGATCTACATCATTCAGCATCACTCAGTAATTTTTTTTTTTCAGACTGATTTACAAATTCTGATAAATGTGTAAAATTTGAAAACCTACCTTAAGTTTTTTATTTAGTTTACAGCAGTATCTGTAAAGCATGGACAGATTGAGGGGACCAAAATCTGCATAAAAACTGAAAGAGAAGTTTAAAATCTAAGAAATGCATGACCAGAGAAATATTTATCAATACACAAAGATTGTTTTACGTTGTGACTAATTGAATTTTTTCCACTAATTACTGTACTTGGTCATGAGATGCAAGAAAGATTAAATAAAAACAGTGATATAAATAAATATTTTACTTTCTTTGCACCCAAAATAAGATTATAACACTTTAGAGTCTATAACCAGTCTTCAAGTTGTATTGCACACTATTTTTCTCAGACTGAGCAAATATTTCTTTTTAATGCAAAAGGGACTTCTTCTCATACAACTGTACGAAGATATTTCACTAAACTTTAAAATCAAGAAATTATATTACACAACAAGAATTCATAAGTCTTCTCACAAAATAAGTAGACTCTATGGGCCAGACAATCCTTATGAACCACGCCGACAATTAAATTAACTTACTTTTCATAAACCAGTTCATCGTCAATACAAAAATAATGGGTATGTGCAGTGGATTTGGGTTTCGTCCGCAATGTTGCAAAATACAGCCGGTCTGAAAAAAAATGCAGAAAGGTCAGGGATAAATTGGCAAAATGCCTAGTAAAACTTCATTATTTTAATGGAACAGAAACAAATATTTGGGAGTTAAATCCATCTTTGGACCTACCTTTTATGAATTCGGATGCACTGCCTATGATGTCATTATCATCGGCCATCGTCTTGAGGTAGTTGTGCGGCATGAAAGATGTTAGGTATCCGTATCCCTTCTATCCTAACTTTAACAGTAACCAAGGATCACTCAGTGTTGACCCAGATTTGTATGTTTACGTGACCCGTTTAAAATACGCAATAGTCTGCTAGATCTAAAGGAGGACAGATCGATATTTCAGTATCATCCGTTCAGACTATGCATCCTTGGTGTTAAAAATAGAGGACCAGCCCCTTTGCCTCTAAACGAACTCTCCACGGCCGATTAAGTTATCCCTACTCACTCGCGATGAACGGCCATGTTTGAACGAATTCGAAGGTTAGGGTAGTGCTGTCACGTGGTTAGGGGTGAACCAATGGGTTAGGGTGCAACAATCGTTGTTATGACGACAAAGGGAATAGGCCAATGAAACGCCTATTTTACTCACATGGCTAATGTAAACATGATGTTCAATACACAAACCATGTGCTCAATGTTGTAGGTGGAGGAAAACAGATAAGATATATTACCATTCTTTGCTGAAACTCAAAATCTGGGGACAATTTCGTTCACCAAAGGAGTTAGGGCCTATATGAGACCTTCAGATGTACCCGCTTCGTTCACATAGCTCTGTTGAATAAAAATTCGTGGATGTAAACCTAGACGGTGTAATTGCAAATCTTTGTGATTAATTAAAAAGGAGTGTATATAAGGAGTTATAAATTAAAATTAACGCATTTAAAAACTGCTTATTACTGTTTCAACCATCAATCAAACATTTTCGAACCAATTTTCGATTGATTTAAGCAGAGCGAACACTTACTTTTGGCATTTTGGGGAGAAATTGGAATTATGTGTAGGTTTTTGTTATTGCATCATTCAAAACGTTATTATTATTATTATTTTTTATTATAGCGTTTTAGGAAAAATGAATATTCATTTTTTTGTACATATATCGTTAATGTCTGGATAATTAAGAATGTAAACCCGCCCACCATTACTTTGCACTGATGGGGAGGAGGGGGATTAAAACCAATAAATCTACGCTTCTTAATGTTGAAATAAAATGATATAAATTAAAAAACACACATATAACGTAAACATCCAAATTGTAAGCTCAAGGGGCCGGGGGAGGGAGGCTAAAAGTTAGCGACGGGGCTAGTGACCTGCTTCCTGTACCTATGATTGATGTGTGGTAGAAAAAAAAAGAGGAGAGTAGGGCTAAGTCACCAACAACGCCTATACGAATCACTAACAGAAGTATCTCATATACTGCAAGACTGGCATTATTTCCTGGAATGAATCTTAGTAGACGAAATCACTGCCTTCTTTGCAAAAACGATACTCGACTCTCTTCATTGTGGTAGCGGTGATTGATTGTTTCGCAACAGCTATTGCGATTGTGACCATTCTGTTAGTGTATGTGTGCGTGTGCACTGCTTCTCACATAGAACCGTGTATTGCTTCAGAAATCATCTGTGTATTTTCGGAAATTGTAATATTGGACGGCCACGTAACAATCTTCATTCAAAATTACCTAAATGCATCATTGCTGGAAGTAAATGATATCATGGAAGGGGAAGCTGAATAAATAGCCGAATAAACAATTTTGGCTTAAAAAAGTCTAAAAAAAAGTGGAAGCAAGGTTGAATGAACACACTTGGACAATGCCAGCACCCCCCTCCCCTCCACACACACACACACTCTCCCACCATCATCATTACTACCTCCCGTCAGCCTCGGAGGCATCCCCTACAATAACTTCAACTCTTCCGACGAAACTAAGCATAACCAATCTATGTGCCCTACATATTTAAAACTTTCCCCGTAGACCGTTCTCTATTGCTGTTCTACATTAAGTGAAGAAAAATTAATTTACAGCAAAATCTTGGGTTTGCCTGTGTTGTAGCGTATTGTATTGATGTTTTATATTTCCGCGCTTTGAAGATTGTTCTTTGCCATAATCATACTCGATTAAAAATAAAATATGTACTTCAATCTCAGGATTTTTAACCGATAAATAAAATATTTATCTTAGGAGTCTTTCAACACGGTTTCAACAAATGTAAATTGTTTCAAAGTATTGATATTTTGTCACGTTGTACCGTTTATACAACACCTCACATAAGTAATTCATAAGGTAAATCTGATGTCGGGCATACCTGGAATGAATTCCGAAGCACTTCCAATTGCCCTTCCTATGATGTCGTCATGATCTCTGTAGGACTCGTGACAGTCGTGCATCCACACGTTATTTCTTCTGTGCATCGATAGATCGTAGTCGTCTTTCCAGTCTTTCATTTGTGTGTAATCTCCAGTTGTCTATCTTGACAAGCACGTCGAATTATGTGGAACCGGCGTAGTTGTGCTTGGGCGGAACAGGAGAGTGTGCTGACTATGTATTCCATTAGATCTCCAATCCGTTTCCAATATTATCCATATTGTTGCCAAAGGAGACCAAACATTTTCTTAAGGTGCTGCAAGCTCATGTGACTTATCGACTGTTCGAGCTCATGGTTTTACCTGTTTTATATACTACGTTCTTGGTATATGTTTCGTAACCATTCCCATTTGCTTCTGCTGTCTGTACGTTATTTGCCTCAAACCGTTTTGTTCCAATTTAATAAATGCTTGTCTTGCTGGTTGACTCAGAAGCTTTGTATAAGCAGGCACATACCTGATTATCTAGTCGATAATGCATATCATTTAATACCTTGACTTATCGCGTCTTTTTAGGTCTACTGTCTAGGCCTATTTCCCTGCATTAATGATCAACTCTACTCTGCAGATTCTTTGCTGTAATATAAATCATCATGTTAATCCCCCCCTTTTTGCTCTCCTCGAAAGTAAAAGCCAACATGGTTGGTTTTAAACAATTATAATCAATCACTTTACACAGCTGTCATGTCAAAATATGGTATGCAGCGTTTATAATATAAAATGAAAGAGAAATGTTGAAAATGCAGCTATCACCGCCCGTACTTAATTAAGCAGCATTCGCAACTAATATCATAATTTTTAAAATTATATTAAAATAAGGATTTTCTTTTATCTCCTTCCCCTCCTTTTTTTTATTTTGCGTGTGTACATGTAATCCACGCGAATTCTATTAAGAATTGCTTTTTCTCTCTTAACGCACCTTTTTCTCAGGAGGGCTTTATCAGTTAAAAGTGGTAGAACAGATATTTTTCATATTGTCTTAGGATAAGTACTGCGGAAAAATCTTAACCGCTAAACACAGCGACATTGAAATGGAAAATTTTAAAAGAGCGTCGGGATTGCACCTACATTATGGATTACCGTCATGAAACATTAATATATTATCGACCGTATTTTGTCCTCTAATACCTTTCATTGGGTTCATTTATCGTTACAATGGGGCATTATGGCTTGGTTTTCGCAAGTGATGAATCACTCAGCTCATTTTAGAAACAAATTCATCAAGAGAATCGATATGTCGACCATATGGATATATACCGTTTGAACGATCTACGTGTAACTAGTTGAAACTGAGATAAAGGATGACTTAAATTGCATAAATTAGGAAAACTTTAAACATGTAATTCTTAGTATACCCAGATTTCGAGCTTTTAAAACTTCAGTATATTATTTCAGTGCACTCGGATCCGCGCTTCTATAATAAAACCTTACGTGCGCCATTCCATAAAACAGTCATGCGCCTTACAAAACTAAAATTTAAAAAATATCGGATATGAAAAGAAAGTAAAGACATTGTAACCGTCGTGTTTCCATTATCGTATTAATGAATTTTCTACACATTGTTGGGTTTATATCAATTACAAGAAATACAAATATGTCCTTACTGATACGTTTGCATTATCTTTTTCCAAGTACTAGAAGTAGCTAAAAAATGTAATCATAAATAAACATTGCATCAATATAAGCAGGGCTTAGATAAAATTTGCTTGCTTTTCTGTAGGCAAACTCATTAATGCTAGCACAGGAAAGAAAGTAAGAAAAGAGAAATCTCATTTCAAAATTTTATTAACAACAACAACAAAAAAAAAAAAAAAAAGGCATATTATGCATGTACAATACATTACTGTCTTAAACATTTTTGTTCTTGTCAATGCTTCCACACATTTTAGTATTTATTCTGAGGTATTTTCATATTTATACTTGCATAGTTTTCTAGACAGAGGTCACATGGAACTTATGTTTACTCATACCTTTACCCTTTTCCAATTGCTACTTGATATATGTTTNAGGAGACCTTCAGATGTACCCGCTTCGTTCACATAGCTCTGTTGAATAAAAATTCGTGGATGTAAGCCTAGACGGTGTAATTGCAAATCTTTGTGATTAATTAAAAAGGAGTGTATATAAGGAGTTATAAATTAAAATTAACGCATTTAAAAACTGCTTATTACTGTTTCAACCATCAATCAAACATTTTCGAACCAATTTTCGATTGATTTCAGCAGAGCGAACACTTACTTTTGGCATTTTGGGGAGAAATTGGAATTATGTGTAGGTTTTTGTTATTGCATCATTCAAAACGTTTTATTATTATTATTATTATTATTTATTACAGCGTTTTAGGAGAAACGAATATTCAATTTTTTGTACATATATCGTTAATGTCTGGATAATTAATATGTAAACCCGCTCACCATTACTTTGCACTGATTGATAAACTCGTGAATTTTTATATTTTTATATGTATGGGATTAAAACCTATAGATCTACGCTTCCTAATGTTGAAATAAAATGATATGAATTTAAAAACACAAATAACGTTAACATCCAAATTGTAAGATCAAGGGGCCGGGGGAGGGAGGCTAAAAGTTAGCGACGGGGCTAGCGACCTGCTTCCTGTACCTATGACTGATGTGTGGTAGAAAAAAAAGAGAGAGGAGAGTAGGGCTAAGTCACCAACAACGCCTATACGAATCACTAACCGACGTATCTCATATACCGCAAGTCTGGCATTATTTCCTGGAATGAATCTTAGTAGACGAAATCACTGCCTTCTTTGCAAAAACGATACTCGACTCTCTTCATTGTGGTAGCGGTGATTGATTGTTTCGCAACAGCTATTGCGATTGTGACCATTCTGTTAGTGTATGTGTGCGTGTCCACTGCTTCTCATATAGAACCGCGTATTGCTTCAGAAATCATCTGTGTATTTTCGGAATTTGTAATATTGGACGGCCACGTAACAATCTTCATTCAAAATTACCAAAATGCATCATTGCTGGAAGTAAATGATATCATGGAAGGGGAAGCTGAATAAATAGCCGAATAAACAATTTTGGCTTAAAAAGTCTAAAAAAAAAGTTGCAAGAAGCAAGGTTGAATGAACACACTTTGACAATGCCAGCACC